TCCCTGAAAGTTACAGGTATGATTATCTAAATAATAACACAAGTACAATAGGGTCTTAACAAAAATCAAATAACTTTTAAATTATACATGACGAGTTTAGATTTGGGCAGTTGTCATTATTATGATTATCATTAATTCTCATCATACCTTTGTATATAAAAATTTAAATTTCTAACCTTAAGGGGAAAAATGCCTAATACCAGGTCTAACACAATAGAACATAAGTTTACATGGGTTAATAACAAACAGCTCACCTTGTTATATATATGTACAAAATCTCCAAGCTGTTTTGCAAGGATTCTGCGCCTGTCATTTAATGGCAGTTTTCTACTGGGTACCACAACTTTAAATGATTGTTGAAGATTGACTGCAGCCCGTTTCAAAAACCTCAATACCAGATCCTAGAAAAAACATTATCATACAGTTGTAATAATAAATATGTAGGAAAATATCCCAAATGTAAAAAATAAAGTTACAATTTCCAAAATACTACTTTAATCTTTCTGATATACATTGAAATACATTGCTTCCAAAGACCTGTATGAAAAATATATATTTGTATAAGAGCTATGGCCTATGCTGAACAGCTGAAACCCTACTTAAACTAGCAACATAATACATGTATTTTGTTCCTGAACATCTTATTATGTTTACGTACAATATTCATATGTGTTATATTTTTAACAAAGACATTACCCGGTATACATATACATGTATATGTATGATATGTGTATATGTATATTACAACTCTTTTGAGAAATTACAGTAAGATTATGGAAATTTTAGTGTTTACAAATTTTATAACCATATTTCATTTGATATAGCTATATACCCTTTAACTAAAGTATACCAGCTTAAAAGTAAATGAAAAGAGAGAAATTAGAGAAGAAGTAAATTTACCATTTGTTCATTGAGACCATCCATATCATCTTGTGTCATAGAGTTACAGTCAGTTGTCAATCTTTGTTGTACTCTTACTAAATACATGGCAAATGCTGTTCTAGCCTGAACTTTACTGTAAAATATAATCACATTACAGAATTCTGAAATCAATAAAACAAGATTTCAATAATTTCAATAAATAAATTTGTGGGGATGATTTTATCACTTTTAATGTCTCTGCATATAACTTCCAAATTCTTAAAACTATTCTATAATTGAGGTGCAAAAAAGTCTGAAATTATACCAAGTTTCATATAAAATACCTTAGAGCATAATAGTGTCCATTTATGAGAATATCATAATACATAAGACAAAATTTTACATTCTACACTATACAATAGTAATCAAATATATCTCACATTTAAAAAGCGCAAACAATCATAATCTATTTTAAATGAAACTATTACAACAAGATGATAGAAATCACAAACCTTAGTGTACGACCTTTCTGCAAAAGTTCTACAACATTATATTTTGGTGGCGGTGGTGGTGGAGGGGCGGGTGGTGATGCTGACCTTGACCTTGAACCTTTATTTATTTCAGCACCATTTTCTACAGTGTTACTAGAGTGATCTCCCTTCACTTCAGCTGACGACACAGCACTATTGTCTACATTATTTTTAGCGAGGGCTGCAAGCCCTGTACGTTTATCTGACCGAGACTCTTGTCTCGCCTCTTTCTCAACAACTATTTTAATAAGGTCTTCACTTTGTGTTTTAGCAGGTGGTTTTTCAACCTTTTGTGACATAGTGTTATTTTGCTCGGATATATTTCTTTCTGTAATTGGAGGCTCCTCGTCTTCATTTTCTTCTTGTTCCTCACCGGAATCTTCTGGTACACCTTGAACTAACTTTCTACGTTCTTGTCCTGTAATTGTTGAAATAAACATTGTATAATGTAGATTCCATATTTGTGACTGATTTGTTATAATGAAATACTCAACTTTGTAATAGATTTCTTAATAAAACTTTGCACCTACGATGGTTGTACATTAAGTTTGCATAAAGATCTGTGTTATAAAAATATAACATATATTTGCATTTTTGCGAAACTTTACATTTATGTATTTAATATTGAAATATCTTACAACAATTTTATAGAAAATCCGTCTTTAATATCTTTTAAATTTTTGTTTAAAAAATCAAAAATTTTGCCAACTGGAGCATGATAATATTTTGATGATTTTTGTAGACAAAATGTACAAACATTTAAACTACAAGCACCTAGCATAATTTTCTGCAGACATTGGCCTCGAATTATAGTCATGATTTGTGGACTTGGCTCTATACTGCATAGTTCAAATGTATTTTTTTTTGTATGCCCATATCATAATTTGTATGAAATTTTGCATGTTAAGTGGAAATATTATGCAATTTATGTTTGTATTTGTATAAATTTGAAAACGCTATGCAAATTCTTGTTTTCATTTTATAGAATTATTATGCAAGTCTTTTTGGACAAACCTTGAAAGAAAACCAAGTTTTCCACCAATACTATTCATGTAAAAAAAAGAAAGGGCTTAAATATTGCCATTTCTATTTAAGGTCTTCTAAAAAAAATAAGTAAACCAACTTACTTGCATTACGTCTTCTTCGTTTACTTCTACTTCGTTTGGTTCCCAGCTTTCTCTCGTATCTCCTGGTGCGTAACATTGCTTGAGCATAAGCTGCCGCCAGCTTTAAAATATAAGAATTAACTTTACTAATTGTTTATTGTAAAAGAATACATCATAACAGTACATACATTTATTTATAAATTTGTTTATTTTGTTTAAATTATTTTTGTTATGAGCATAGCAAATATTTATAATCCAGGTAAATATATAATCATATATACAGTCAAACTTGTATTAAGCAACCAAGCAAGGAAAACACTGAAAATGGTCACTTAAAACTTTGGCCTCTTAAGACAAAGCATGTGAAAAAGTCAAATTTTATTCATGGTATCTTTCCTTTGCCGGGGGGGGAGGGGTTAATTTTTTCAAGTTAATTTCTAGAAACAAATAATGAATAAATTAATAATAAAAGATCTTACCTCTACTGTTGGTTTAACATTACTTGAATTATTTGCCAACTGAATATATGCACTCCTGTAAACATTAAAAAACATAAATTCAATCATACATTGTAAGAAGTTGCTAAAACAATACTTAATCTGACTGGAAACTAAAATGACAATAATTTTAAAAAGTTAAAATACCACAAAGATCTTCATATATTACAAAAGTAATATGTACATGAGAAATGCACTTAGTTTTATACAAATTTTTCTATAACAGCAGCAAAACTGTTGTAAATATAAATAGTTTACACAAAAATACTGTTTCTGTTTGACAACAAAGAAACTTTGTAACAAATCTTGTGAAAACTTTAATATTATATTACTTTATACCATTTTTTCTAATACTAATCATGTTTCAAGCACTGTGACAATGTTTCAAGTCTAAATGAAATATAAATCTTATAAACATGCAACAAACTTCTTATACTATCATTTCTGTGTATTTCCATACTTGGAAATAAATAATACGGCATTAATCCTTACTGAAAGTTTGATCATCATAGAAATGAGTCCTTTTTAATTTTAACTCAGAAAGAAAATCAAAAGTTTTGTAGGTTTTGTTTCAATAGTTTTAGTATTGATTCAGTATTTCAAACACTTTATGTTTTATAGGTCAATTTGACACAAAATTTTGTAATTTTAGATCAATCACATATCATGACCTTGAAGAGACAGGTCATGACCTATAAAAGACAGGTCATGAACTTGAAGAGAAAGATCATGACCTTGAAGAGACAGGTCATGACCTTTAAAAGACAGGTCATGATATTAAAGAGACAGATCATGACCTTTAAGACAGATATTGTCACCTTAAAGAAACCTGCCATGACCTTGAAGAGACAGGTCCTCGCCTTGAAGAAATAGGTCAAACCTTAAACAAACAGGTCATGCCCTTAAAGAGACAGATCTCTGTCATGAAGAGCCAAGTTTTGGCACTAAAAGAGTAGATCTATTCTGAGTCATGAAAGATATGAAATATATATGCTACAGAATTTTTATGCTTGAGAAGGAAATAATATAAAGAAACTTACAAATGAATATTATTAATAGTATTCTGTAAGCTTTACTACCTGAATTACTGTTTGAATATAGGCAATAACTATATTTCAAGCTCATGCAAGCACCTTGTTAAAACAGCTAGTCATTTTTATGTAAGCTATCCAATTCACCATCTTAGTGAAATATAAGACATAGATGGCTAAAAAAATTACTAACTGTTTTAAAAAGGCTAATTATAAATTCATGTCCAGTCTCATAGTATAACAAGCAATTCAAGTGTAAAACACTGCCTTTTGTCTTCATATAACATTTCATTTCATTAGCTATTTTCTGAAACCAAATGAAACAATACTAAAGTTAACATGTACAGCTAAGAATATCAAACTATCTGTAAAAATGATGGTGTGACTGAACTTATTTCAAAAGTAAGTCAGTGTTGAAAGGCATGCATAGTGAAGAAAATTGTAATACAGTCAAACCTGACTATTGGAACAAATTTTGCAAAATGTGTTGATTGGTAGTCTTAAAACACTAACACACATTACCCATCTATGTTTTGTTAGTTCTAAGTCACATGGACACTGTAAGGGTCATTTTGCAAATACCTGACTGTAATGATAAGGAACAATTTCCATGTATTATCTTAGGCTCAAAGAGGCACTCAAATGGATGCACTGAACTACCATAAGCTAGTTGGAAAGTTTTCTCACATGAAAAAATCCAATGTCTCTCATGGAAAACAAAACAAACACTGGTGTAGGGCAAATAATCTTGAGTAATGGCTTAAAAAGTCAGGTTTTCTTTTAGTGGTTTTTATCTAAATGTGGTCTTAAATCCAGGTTTGACTGTACTTTTACCATATACTGAACTAAACTACCCTGTACAAGAACTGAACATTACTATACTACAGATTATTGTGAACATATTAGTGGTATATAATAACTCAGGCATGGGGATTACTCAAACTAGATCTGTTCATCATACTTACAGTGTTAATTTTTGGTTTACTTCACCCCTAATAAAAAACATTTCTAAGTTAATGTGAATGTTTATTAAATGATTAACACTTCCAATAATTTGTATGCAATATGAAATTTATAAGTTTCAATATGCAGTGATGGAAAAGGTTATAAATTTTAAATTTTTACAGTTATCTGATAGCAGACTGTTAAATGATGAACCCCTCTAGACCTTTCATATTTAAATTCAAATTATAAAGCCAAATTAAAATGATCATTCCATATTTTTCTGTATCAGGCTGAATTACTGAATTTTTAACTCTTTAACTTGCATTGAGCAAATTTTAGAAATTGATAGCTCAACAAAGATGCATCCCTTCATTACGCGGCTCTATTTGATTTAATGAGCAAACCATTTAGTACATCATGTACTTCTAATTAAAAAACCATCCAATTAATTAGTAAAATGTTAAATAAGTAAAGATATTCTTATACATATAGATTTTAGTGAAATATTATTTATCAGTAAGAAAACAAACAAACGCATTCATTATTCCTACACAAAAAGGTCAATTTTTAAATCCTCATAAACAAAAACAGAGAACCAACAAATTCTGTTGCTATATTAAGTCAAATGAATGTTTTAACTTCTTACAATGATTTATGACCAAGATTCTTTACTTAATTTAAACAACTCATTACTTAAATGGAAGCCAAATAACTTTAGACTAATGAAATTAAGCTTTCCTTTCAAATTAAATCATATGTCTTAAAATACATGTTCTCCAAATATTCATTAAATTAGATTTGAAAAATGTTGAAAAAAGGGTATAATTTTATGTTGTATTAAATAAATCATTTGAAAAACAAAGCTGACGATTGGACAAATAATAAATATCACAACATAGAGAGAAAATAGTAAAGCAAACACCACAAAAAAGACAAATTTACACAAATTATACAAAGTTCTTACTTTGCTCTAGAACCGGCAGAAGTAGAACTTCTTGACACAACTGCTGTTGATGAATTTTTATGCCTGAAAGAAAATGACACAATATCAGTTTAAAAAAATCTTTTTATGTTTGGCTCATATAATTATAGTTGAAAACTTCAAAATTTCAAATGTTGGAGAAATCAGAAGGCATCTATCAGTGCATGATGTTGGGTAAATGTGGAATAGGGGAGATTACTGACTTATCTATAAACAGTAGTATCCTAATTCAGTTAATTCTCTGCTAGATAAAGTCATATGAGAAAACAGTTGTGACACTAACAAGAAATCATGTTTACACAGTCAATTCCCCTTACTCAAATACTACTTCAAACCATTACATGCGATCAAGTAAAGTTATTCACATTGTTTCATAGCTGTAAATGAAGTAAGAAATATAAAAACAAACCTAAAAATCTAAAAAATAAATCTTCACAGTTTATATCAATGTTAAACAAATAACTGACAACATATATATGGTATATAGTGAAAAAATCAATAAAGGGCCATAATTCTGTTAAATTTGGTTGCAGCAAAAATTCCTTCCTATACTTCCATCTACACATTAAGGTTGTTCATCCCTGGAAGTTTAAGCAAAATCTGCCATCTGGTTTAAGAGGAGTTGCGTTCACAAAATTTCTATATGGTATATAGTGAAAAAATCAACAAAGGGCCATAAATCTGTTAAATTTGGTCACAGCAAAAATTCCTTCCTTTACTACCATCTACACATTAAGGTTGTTCATCCCTAGAAGTTTAAGCAAAATCTGCCATCCGGTTTAAGAGGAGTTGCGTTCACAAAATTTCTACATAGTATATAGTGAAAAAATCAACAAAGGGCCATAATTCTGTTAAATTTGGTCGCAGCAAAAATTCCTTCCTTTACTACCATCTACACATTAAGGTTGTTCATCCCTAGAAGTTTAAGCAAAATCTGCCATCCGGTTTAAGAGGAGTTGCGTTCACAAAATTTCTACATAGTATATAGTGAAAAAATCAACAAAGGGCCATAATTCTATTAAATTTGGTCGCAGCAAAAATTCCTTCCTTTACTACTATCAACACATTAAGGTTGTTCATCCCTAGAAGTTTAAGCAAAATCTGCCATCCGGTTTAAGAGGAGTTGCGTTTACAAAATTTCTACATAGTATATAGTGAAAAAATCAACAAAGGGCCATAATTCTATTAAATTTGGTCGCAGCAAAAATTCCTTCCTTTACTACCATCTACACATTAAGGTTGTTCATCCCTGGAAGTTTAAGCAAAATCTGCCATCCAGTTTAAGAGGAGTTGCCTTCACAAGATTTTGAGACGGACGGACAAGTGCAACGCTATATGCTCCCACTTTGTTGGGGCATAAAAAGTCTGTTACCTAGTATTAACTTTAGTTCTCCGCAATGGAATAATGCATTTAATTGAATTAAAACAACAGAAGTTCCCATTTCTCTTTTTATGCAGAAACAAACAAGAGCTGTCCGTAAGACAGCGCGCTCGACTTTTTTATTGCTTGTCTGTTGATGAAGGTCGTGATGGTAAACAAGTATGGTCAGTTTCAAAGCAATACCTCCAATGGTTTTGAAATAAAGTGAGGTGGTACAAAAAACTTAACCAAGCTCAATACACTTTCTAAGTCAAAAAAGGGCCATAATTCTGTCAAAAACCTTGACAGAGTTATGTACTCTTGTCTGTAGATGGAGGTTATGATGGTGAACAAGTATGGTAAGTTTCAAAGCCATACTTGTAATACTTCTGAAATAAAGTGGGGTGGTACGAAAAACTTAACCAAGGTGTGACGCCAACGCCGACGCCGACGCCGGGGCGAGTAGGATAGCTCCCCTTTTCATAGAAAAGTCGAGCTAAAAATGGTGGGAAATGAAACTCTTTGATTATCTACATACCTTTCTGGAAAAAGTTTTTGGTGCACCATTAAATTATTGGTAGTTGTGAACTGCAGGAAACTTCTGTAAACATTAAAAAGAATAATTTGTAAAAATGTTTTCTTCCAAAGTACATGACTGTAGAGCACACCTCAGTTTAGTCTTAAATTGATATACTTTTACTTTGCTGGATGATAAATCCTTGGGAATATAAGTTCAAAAGCTTTAATAATCTTAACATATAGGCATACAATATTATTTTATCCATCCAATCTTAACTACATGGAAATTTTAAACATTTACACTTTGATTAAATTTCATTTTTAATATTGAAAAAAATTTTATACTCTATATAACAAACATGATTAAAGCTAACATTTTTACCATATATTCATTGTAAGATAAACGTTTAAATGAAACATGAAAACATACGAGTAGAGGTCCCACGAGTCTGCCGTAGGAAATATTCTGACCCAGCCCCCTTTACGGGCCTCTTCCTCTTTTGCTCGCCTCACAATTCTTATTTCGTCGCTATTCAAACCAGACAATGATTTATTGGTGGCGCTCTCACTACTACTATTTGCCCCTCTCTTCATACTGCCAGCAGAAGATGGCCGCTGTTTCTAAAATTAACAAAAATCAAGGGAGATAACTTACTTGTTTTCACAAAGTTTTAAGATTCGTAATTCTGAAATAAAATTGTTTTCGTAATTCTGAAATAAAATTGTTTCTTTTCAAAAAATTTAAAATAAAAAGATATGTGAGTACAAACATGTGGATGATTGATTTGTTACTTGTCTAAATACCATAAATAAACTATTTTCATGTATACAGAAGGTAGTTAACTGTTAAATGTTCTTGCAACTAAAGGCAATCAGTTTTCTGCACACAAAACAGAACAACAATAAATTATACCAATTTTTGTTTACATTAGTTGTTAGGAGTAATTGAAATATGGTAATTACTGCAATTAAAAACAACTAGCATTCAAAGAATGTAATAAATCCATTTCTACAGCAATTTCACAAATTAAGTTGTTAAATCAATTTCTATCATTTCAAAGGTCCCAATTCACTAAAAAGCAAAAAATAAACATTATATTAGTAGTATAAAACATTGATATACTTCTGCTTGATGTAAAGATATGAAATTTTGTGAACAATTCCCCTTCTTATACACACACATAATATATATTTATTAAGTATGACTACTTTTACATAAAAATCCCTGGCAAATTTCAATAAAAACACTAACCTAAGACATAGGGATGACAAAGTTGGAACTGACCAAAATGGTAAACAAAATAGTTTGGATTCATAAATCAGTGTTTCTATAAGGAAAATAATGTGGTAACTCAAATTCATAAATACTCAATACAAATTGTATATTTGGCCAATAAGGAAACTACATATAACTGTAATTCATAATTTAGGAATAAGTTAATGGGAAGTGTTTTAGCAACTCAAGATAATAAATTCAAAATTAAGAGGGTAAATAGAGAAACCTTTTATATACATTAAGGAATAGAGGGTAATTCAGGAAATTGTTTATGCACATTCAAATTAATGAATTTTAGATCAGCAGGTAAGTTAGGAATTTGTTGATGCAACTTGTTCATTTTATAGTTTCTATTTACATACTTCATTCTATAAAAATCTTTCTTTTTCTTTTAATCAAAATTTCAATAACTCATGTCAAATATTTTGGCCCTTTGTTACAATTGGGAAACACAAACTTTGAATAAAAATTAGGGAACACAAGATTATTAAATATACATTTTATATCTTTCAACAGATTATTTATTAAAGGTTTTATATACATGTATATGTAATAAATATTTCCCCATATTAACCAATGATCTAGCTTTGACTACCATACCAATAGCTGTCAACAAAACAAAGGAATAAAAACATAACCAACAAAACAACATCTTACCATTGAACTCAGAGCTGGCTTCGCTCCTGCTGACTACAAAAATAGCCATACACATTTATATCTACTTCTTTATATATCCAGATCATTTAGACTGGGTCCAAAATTATAAAATTGTATCTGAAAACCAGTCATGATCTTACATACTTAATGGTAAGCAGTGTTGCTTGACATGATTTCATCCGATATAAAATAAAATTGAAGATAAAATAAAGTAGAAAAATATAAAAACAGAAAATTTTGCTACTCATATACTAGTAATGTCAAATCTAAATATTTTTCAACTAGCTTGTCATTTTTTTTTTTGCTACAGACTGGTTTTCAATACATTTTTTTCCAGCTTTATGATAATGAATCATCTAGATGTTTCAAAAAGCTGCTGTTTATGTGCTGCCAACAGAAATATAACTATAACTTAATGTACCTGCATCTTTTTCCAATGTGCAAGTCTAATCTGTAAAATTGGCTGTTTTCAGTGTGGACAAAAACTTCACATAATTTATTAACATTTATAAAGCTAAAGTATATTTTGATGTTTGGTCTTTTATATTTCACTACCACTCACGCTTTCTTCAATATTTACTCATTTATATTATGTTCTTTTAAGTCAATGAATGTTAAACATGAACACTAATATTACATTAAAATATCATTTATGACAAGAGTTCTTTTGATGTTTTGGGATAAAAAGGTCTAGTCTTTTAGAAAAATGGAAGAGTTAGAAGATTCACAATATCAATGATATATGCATTACTTTGTAAAATGCCATTTAAAATCTTTCAAATACTAAAAATATATTCTTTATTCCTATATCTCAATTGAGGTAAAGCAGACAGTCCCTTAGAATGGGGAAGCGGAAGTATATAATTATGCAATAGGTGCAATATTCACTGTACCACAATATATGCATTCCAAAGTAAACAAGCTATCTAAATTCTTTTAAATATTGAATTTATATTCATATATGCATAGAGGTCAAGACCATAACTGCTACATCCTAGTAACAAACATACAATATAACCCATATCCATCTATATTTAGACTCTGATTCCATTCAATGCTAGACATTTCTGTTTTGCAAATCAAATGTGATGTAATATAATAAGTAATACAATAATGTTTTTACCTTTACTCTGGCGGCCATTTTGGAAGCTATATCCTGATTCCTTTTACTTTGTTGAAGAGTTCTCATCATAGGGTCATGACAGATTATACCTGAAATATAACCATCATCTATCATCACATCATTCCTGACTTTATTATATCATCATTAACCTTTGACCTGTTGAATTTGTATAATGGCTTTCCCCAGTTTTGAATTTGGAACAGTCCATTTAAAGTTGATTGAATTTCAAATATCAATATGCAAAATTTGAGCTAACAACAGAAAAGATGCTGATCAGACTGCACAAACATGAAGGCTGGTCAGACTCTATAAAGGTGGCAAAGGCTTATCATTTTTGGTTCCAGCACGTTACAGATTAATAATATCTGTCATATTTTGCGGTTCCGATCGGAATATCCGTCCCGAGGTGAACCGCCCATTGGGCGGTAACGAGGCTTGCCAAGTTACCTCCCATGGGCGGGTGACCGAGGGACGGATATTCCGATCCGAACCGCAAACATATGTCAGATATTTTTTCTTGCATATTCTACCATATTCCATTATATTTTAAATTCTTTATCTTTATTTTCAATGAAAATTTATATCATTACAACCGTAACTACTTTCATTCAACAGCGTATGAATTACAAAATCATTCATAACGGTAAAATGACGTCATCTTTATCGTGCCATTGTACAGCACGCGACTCATCTCGAACCCCCCATGCCAGATGAAATTTCCGGCATGGGTAAAACTAACGGAAACGCCAGTCTGATATGCAAGAATAATATTTGAGTAATGACTCTCCATGCTTTGAATTTGGAACATTCCATTTAGAGGCTTACAACATATTACAATGTTATTGGTTCTACTTTATGTAGAAGAGCTGGGTTTTTATTCATATATGAAAAATACGAGTTTGTAGCTAGCTTATTAATGTTCCTAGATTTTGAGTTTGTAAAATTGTTGTTTTACTGCAAGGAAATGTCAATTTCTCTACTTGAATCACTTCACCACCAATAGACAAGACAAAGGTCTATGACATAAAGTTTTCAACAAAATTAGAGTTTTATGTGGTTTGACCAGGACTTGCTAAATTGAATTTCCTAGACCAAATTTCATATAAAAATGAATAAACTAAACAAAGTTTATTTGAATGAAAACTAAACTCACCCGTCAAACTAAAGAGATCACACAACATATTGCTTTTTATCTTCATGTCAAGAGGACTATCACTGTAAATATAAAAAAAATCGTTCTTTAAAACATATATATCAAAACTTGCATGTTATAAGTTATATTATTATCAAATTGTCATACAGAGCCTATATCCAGAGACAAAATTATCTACTGAAAAAGTCTTTAAAAACATTTGTTGCTATAGCATTATTATAAATATAATTCTATATCATTTTACCAAATTTTAAGCAACTGACAGCTTTGCTGCAACCATCATGTAACATCAAAATCATTTAACAATATTGTAATTTAAAAGGTGAAAATAATCTTGATGAAATGGATCAAGACATGAGGTCTTTACCCAAAATACATACACGATGGGTTCATCAAGAATAAATTGTAAGCTTACCAATAAGAGTAAATTATAAGCTTACCAATAATAATGAAGTGAAAGCATACCACGTAGAACTGACTGAAGCTTACCAAGAATGATCAAATGAAAGCTTACCAAGAAAAATTCACTGAAAGCTTACCATGAGTGATTAAATGAAGGCTAATATTAAGAAAAAAACTTACCAAGCTAGGGAAGGTGACAGATTAACCTCTATCACCCATGGCTTCATATTGTCATCTATCATAATATCAAAACCATATAACTCTGAAATACAAAACAAGCTTTAATGTCATGTGTAGTTGTTTTTATAGATATCTAAATAAAAAACAATTTACCAAGAAAAATAATTCATCTTCTTTTTAAATTGCCATCAACTTCAAAGTTTTAGAACAATTGTGATATGAAATGCAACAAGACACAATTCTGTTGGCCCTTTTATTCTGATAGTGAAATTCCTTGAACTAAGAGTGACCACTACGAATTTGAAGCAGAGCTACAAATTACATAAATCTGTCAGGATAAACCAACTCCGCATTATTAACCATGTATGTAAGCATCTGGGCAGGACTGCCGTTTATCCGTTAACATACAGTTGTAAAATAAACAAGGATGATTCAAGACATTCTTATTTACAATGTATATGAGCACCCAGGTAGGATTGTCATTTATCTTGTAAATAGTGCTGCAAATCAGCCCATTTTACTAGCCTATTTAGAGGGGTAAGTGGTCTATGTCAGCCAACAGCAAGTTTTATATACCAAAATGTTCGTCTGGATCTGTAGTTTCTGGAATGGATATTCATTTGGCCCAACCCCGATGCGAAGCTAAGATATCCAAGATGGCGTCAAAGATGGCCGCCAAATCCCTAAATATTCTAGTATATTTACGTTGGCTTATTTCCTTTTTCAGTTTTGTAAATCAATTGAAATTTTGCATAAAATTTCTTATTTTCAACTTACTCATGCTATAAATTTTGACTTTATTGATTTTTTTTCTAGTTTTCATCGCCTAATTTTAACGAAAGAAGAAAAATATGTTGCAGACTGGGTGTCCTTTTCTGAATATGTGTAACTTATTAGTTTTATTCCTGTTTAAACTGAATAACATTCATGATTTCGTTTAATACAGCTTTAAAACTATATCTACGCATATTTAGAATAAGTCAGAATAAGCGAATTATGCCATAAATGTGTTTTATTGATCTAAATTCATATACAAAGTGGGTGGGGTATTACGAACGGGGAGTCAACTTTAAATTAAATACTTTTTTGTTTTATATTCAGTCATAGTCAGTGTATCAAGCCTTTTTACAATATAATGTCCCATTTTTTTTAACTATCAAGCACTGAGAGTAGTCGAGCAAGCTGTCCTAGTGACAGCTCCTTTGTATGATTTTAAGCATTTTGTTGCAAGTTTGTTGTTAACTTCATGCGAAAAATAAAGAAGAGCTTTCAATTGGACGAAAAAAGCTAATTTTTTTCCCTTGCGGGTACTTGAAAGTAATACTATGTGCTGGGGGGTGGGGCGTAGAAATACATGCACTGTACAGTACCGTCCATGAACAGGCTCAATCAAACCGAGTCTGCAACAGCAGGTTAACAGTGTTATATTAATAGGTCCTTCGGGATGGTGGTGTTTGTGTCGGTAGTTTTCAATCCGGATCACGGCATTTAACCAAAATTAAAAATTTCCCAGACCACGTTCAGTCCCCGAATCGTTCCTGGACGGGGCCTTTTAAAGGCGATTACCAGTACTTTAAAATTTCCCCTTCCCTTTCGAAAGGAACTGAAACTTCTGTACATTAAGCAGAGCAGTGGTACAGTGCGAATATAACCGTTAGAAAACTATTTCATGATTAATCACAACGTAAGTGACCTGGCCCGTCCGGGAATCAAACACGGGTTGCCCGAATCACAGCCCAACGCTCTACCTTTTGAGCTAACCGGATGACTTGGTCCTTCGGGATCATTGATTGCAAAACTTTTATAGTTGATGATCGGATACTACTTAGTCGGTACTAAGAGACATGAGATATGGTCTCTCATGAACAGACCCCATCAAACTGAGTTTGAATTATTAACTTTTACAATCATAATGCCAATGACATGTTAGTTTACTTTATATTTACTTTTATATTGTTACTAGAGGGATTTTATGTTAAGTCTCTCTACTGTTTCACAACCTGAAGCTATATGTTCATTAAATAGCCATTCCAACTACCTTTAAAATATATTCTTTAACATGGAAAAAATCAAATTTTGAAATCAAGTGAATCTTAAATAAATTCCAAGTTTGAACGTACATGAATAAAACAAAACTCTTAATATTTTCAAATTTAAACATTTCTGTCATTAACAATTATCATAGTAACTAAAATCTATGATAATTGTTTTTTTTTTAATTACGTTGTTAACTGTTCACATGTACTTCATGCAACATCATATTTGGTATATATATTTCTAAGTTAATTAGATTTGCCGGGGCCTACTGTCGTGTGGATGATTCTAATGAACGAAATTAATTTATTACTGGCAAACTTCTTTAACAAGGCTATCGCTATCATAAATTACGTAAATATTTCTGTCGTCATAATTCAGATATATTTAAAATTTAATTGTACTTTAAAAACTCTTTTACGTCTAGGTATAAGCAGGCCTGTTTTATGTGGAGATAACAGCTTATCTGTAGCATGCATGCTTCATAACCTCTGATCCCCTTTCAAAATTCCATTTTATTTAGTCCTGCTCATTGTTTTCTTGTTTAGGGCACACACATTCTTGTACTTGGGGACCATACTCCGCTTTTTATGGAATGACACTAACGTGTCACATTGAAGGTTCCGTGATAACCACATTATAAGCGCGTCTGCGGTTGTTTTTAAATTCAAAAGTTTACCATAACCATGATTAAATGTTGAATTATGCTTAATTCGGTGCTAGGGGGTGTGTACTGTAGTTTGCACTTGACAGTGCCGTTCATCTAACCGAGCCTGCAACATTTCCATTTTTGACGTTTTGTGCGTTCTTAATTGTTTTAATTTCGTCTTCTGTCTTGGTAAGTGATGTTCTTGTTGCTTTTCCCTTTCCCTTTTAAGGAAACCGAGAAATTTTGGGTTTAGGGTTAATTGGGGCTAAACCCCTTAAATTGTATTTTTTAACCAAACCTGTTGTTTTTTTATTTTTTTTATTTCGTCAATGAAACTTTAACAATTGTTAAAATTTTTATTTTGGGGGGGAATTTTTTTTTTTCCCACTATTTTCGTCATATGGGGAAAATACCGGTAGTGGTAATTGAAAAGTTCCCATCCAAAACCCCTTTAACCCCCGCTTAAGCAAAATTCTCAATTTTACATAAACTGGTACACTTGCAGGAAGAAAAGACACGTCCATAGATGTATTCATACGAACCTGATCATGGTATCTTCAATGTAAAATGTTCGTGCAATTACACGACATACAACATATTGTCCACAAGAAATAGAGAACAATCGGCGAAAGTTTTAAAACGCGATCAAAGGTCAAAATATAATCTTTAAAATCAGGTAACATATGCAAAGGGTTATTATACACTATTTAAATTAAGGGTTATTAAACAATATTTAAAAAGAAATAATAGAATCACACAACTCGAAAAAGGTCAAACAGAAGGAATGTAAATAACACAAACACAATTATCATGCCAAGCTGAACGATTTTCATATAAACATTATGTTTTATCCGACTACTATGCATGTTTCATGAAACCGAAGGTCAACAGAGTAATGATATATGTAGATAAAATATCAAACTTTTTAAATGACTGTTTTGTCAATTTAAAGATCCTGTAACACAAGTTTTTCATGGTTTTATTTCATAAATATGATGCTCAAATTAAGATTTGTCAATAAATTATGTTCCAATCAGCATTATTTATAAAGATATTACCAAATTTAACATTTCATGTAAATAAAGGGAGGTAATAAGAAATTCGTTTTCTATAAATTCTAAGTCAAATTTTCCAATAAGAAATGAATGCAGGTAATTTATTGATTAAATATAATTTGCACAAATAGTTGCAGTACACATTTTACATATTATTCGATGTTTGAAAATTGTTTCATTTGCATAATTATAAACATAAATAAATTTTTTGCAAGTGTGGTATACACACAGTAACAATATCAATCACAAAACATACAGGATCTTTAAGAAACTTTAAAAAATAAATTACATTTCATTTGACATAAAAAGGTGTGTAACATATAAATAAATGAACAAGGGTTGTTTTGCATACATTGTACTTTTCAAATCCTTAGGAGAACTTACAACAAAATCATGCTTATTAAATTGGTAACAAATTTTTGAACATATTTTTAGATCTGACAGGATACCTGCAATAGCATCACACTTTGAAAATCACCTTATGTTTATTAACTTACGTAAATATTGTCATTCCATATAATCAGTATAATCGAGGGGTCAGAGTTTCTCTAGATTTGTATTCATAGTGGGTGGGGTACGATTTGAACAAATAATTCATTAAATAACCAGAAGCAAATTATCATATTCCTGGTTTATTATGTTAACCAGTTACATGGACTGCACTAAAAGAAGCTATAATTTGACAGAAACACAAAAAATTAGGGAAATAATTGATAGAACAAAATAAGTACAAGTTACAACCTTACGTTGAAAAACTATTTTAATGTACCGCCTTTCATTTTATATGTCTTACTGCATTATTACAAAGAAAGATTTCTTAAGATATGATATGAAAGCATTACTTTCATGAATACATTACAATAGTGGAATAACAAAATAAGTGATAGATATTTCACTGTTTAAGCTGAGACAAGAGTATCATAGCAAAAACCCATATGTTTAGCATTATTTTGCTTATTTACATATAAAAAAACAAAAAGCAATCTGTTTTCTCCAAAAAAATAAATAAATGTCTTCGTATAAAACGCTTTAAATGATATCTCCTGTGCAAAAATGTCACCTGAAATACAAAAGCGGAAACAAATATGTGCAAATATTAATATTCTATAATATTTAGGGATTTGGCGGCCATCTTTGACGCCATCTTGGATTTTTAAGCTACGCATCGGACTTGAACCAAATGAATATTCATTCCGGGAACTACAGACCCAGACGAACAATTTGGTATATAAAACTTGCTGTTGGCTGACATAGACCACTTGGGTGTCATTTTACCCTATGAATTTGCAGCACTAAAAATAAACAATAGTGCAAGACTTACCAAAACAATTGCCTTTGAAAGGCATGAACATTTTACAGGCAGTAGCAATAGGCAGTTCTACAGACAAAATTGTTTTTATTACACAATCCTCAATCTTCATCATTAAAGCTGAAATTACAGGGATAAATACACATTTTTTATAAATAATAATAATAATTATATAGTAATAAGTAATGTCATGTGCGGTCATGCTTACGTTGAAATTAAAAATCTTTGACCTCATTCATTAAAAAAAAGTAATAATTAGTTGAATTTGTCTTCTTCACATAAAATATTAATAATTAAATTCATCAATGAGCTTCAATACAAAAATATAGATATATATAACGTTAAGTACGTAGATAATACAGAGTTCCATGCTATATATAAACAAAGGGAGACAGAGATATCTCACAGGATATAAAATCTTACCTGCTGTATCTTTACCATTAGATCGTAGATATCTCAACATAGCACCAAGGGACCATTTATTACCATAGTCCTCTATATCAGCATCGTCATTCCTGCAGATCAGTATAATTTTAGACGTGAGTATACAATTTTTACTTTTTTTGAAATTATTGCCTTAAAAAATTTCAATTTAAAATATTTGAAGAAAATCAAAGTTGTTAAAAATGTACTAAAATTTTAAGTAAAAAGATCCAAGATTCAAGAAATAATTTACAAGTTATGTCTGATTTAAAACTAATTTGCAGCATTTATCACCATATTTCAAATGTGTGACTAATGCAATAAGGCTGCTATTTTTGCATATTTTAACCTATTTTCAATAATTTAAATGGAATGTAAGTGCTGTTTGCAATGTGTAAATAACCTTCTTTGTTAATTTCAAAATATTTTACTTTTTTAATACATTTTCAAAATTTTCACGAAAATTAGCATGAATCTGAAGGCATACTGCTTAAACTTGCTAAATTTTTAAATTAACTTTTTGCAACTGTCCATTATCAATTTTGGGAATATCAAGAAGAATAAGAAATAAGAATAAATTCTTACAGAAGTAATCTAGATAAAATTATACAATACAAGACTTACTTGACATATTCATCATTTTTCTTGTTCACACTATAGTTGGTTAGATGCATACAATGGTTTCTCATATGCCTCATACTTTTCTCATATTTCACTGTGGCAAACCTGGTAAGTAGTAAAACATTATTATGAGCACCCTAACATATTTGAGTCAATTTTTTTAGCTTATAGGTAAATAGTTAATACAATGTAGTGAGTGGCCCTTCTAGCATTAAAGTAACTGATCAATCAGCCTGCAAATATTTCACAGACTGAAGCAGTAGAGACTATTTACCATAGTTAGTGACATAAATAATCTTTCGTATCATTTCAAACGTAAAAAAAATTGATTAAATAAATCATTGTTTATAACATTAAATCACTTTACCTGGTTAAGCCCTCCTCAAACAGGTATATTTGTAGAGGATCATATGATGTGACAGCCACATACAATCTAACATCAAATTTGAAGCCATCTATCAACAAGGGGTTTGATATATATCTACATACTATAATATTCTCATCCAGTGGTATCTGGTCCGGCTGAAAATTGTATCAAATTTGACGATAAATGTTAATCATGAAACATAAATATATAAATCTATATAAATAATATACATGAATGGAGATGTATCCTCAATATTGGTCAAAACAAAAACAAAACAACACAAACAACATGAATTTCCTTATTCAAAGTTGTTGGCAAAATTAATACATTGTTAAAAAAATGTAGTTTCTTTACAAGGAAAATTAATGATTAAGAACTTCTATACATGACTCCCTCTGAAGTATAGATTTAATATTATCCCATTATTATCACCTAACTATAACATGCTATCTGAATATAAGTATTAATTCCTGTATAACTGGAAATACACAGTCTATTTCCCTGTATGAAAACAGTTTTTCCCTTCTTGATGAAAATCCAGTAATGACAAACTTCAAAGCTTCTATGAATTTTTCATAGTTCTTATAAAAGCTTCTACATGTATGAATCTTTCATAGTCTTTATATTCATATACCTGTAGCTGTTTAAAATTTTAAAAATGAAATGCATGTACTAATGGAAATATTGTGAAGCTATAATCTTTAAATGTCACAATTTGTTTTTTTGTAACCAAATTAAGGCTATTAGACATAGTCAGAATAAACAGATTTGTCATTTTGAATTTTATTTTTCTTATAGAGTCAACATTAAAACCTTCATTTTCTAATACGTAAATCGTCAAGACTCATCTCATTGTCTATCAGAGGAGTCAATATAACGATAATAATATAACATTTTAATTGTATTAATATAACATTTTAATTGGACAATATAGAAATAAGTCATTTTACACTAGACACTCAGACTTAAAAAATGAGGCAAAGAATATTGGAATAGCAATCTCTGTAGTTACAAACGTAACATTAAATTTAGTAAATAAAATACCTTGAAATTCATTGCATATGTATTAATTCAATACATGTAATATATAAACTTACATGATTCACCAGAAATATTCCTCTGCCCCTAGACGATGCCACTGGTTTCACAATCCATGGACCTTTGTCTTTGAGAAAAGCGGCTTTAAAATAAAAGAAATTGTTGTGCAATAAATTGAAGATTGAAAATTAAAGCTTTAAAAAATACACTAAAAAAGTTTTAGACAATAAGTTTTAATAAATTTCAATAAATCATATTTATACATGTAGTTGGTGTGTTTTAAATTTCCTTACAAAAAAATACTAATATTTCTGTTTTAATTGCAAATATCATTGCATCATTACACTAACTATTTATCACTTATTATCAATTTCTTGTGTAGGATTTTTCATGTAAACATGACATGTAAGACAAACCTCCCTAACTAAATTATTCATTAACAAGTCAAAAACAAGGATTTGTCTTACAACTAACACTATGAATTTTTAATTCTTCAGGTTATAAATCTGTATGTTAAAAGGAATAATAACACCATCAAGTTCACTACTAATCTTGACATCATTAATTATTCATCAGTTAAAAATCAGTGTAAACACTTTACCAACATACTAAAAGTGCTAAAATATGAGAACAAAACAAACTTGATAAAGATTCAATTGGAAAGCCATTTCTTTGCTTGTTTTACTTAATAGAACATAATTATCACTTGGAAAAGCAATATAAAATCACTTTTGAAAGCATGGGGGCATTATTGGACACAATTTTTTTTCCTGATAAAAGCAATAACTTAATAGGAGTTAACCCATTATTGCACCAACGTAATAAAATGTAACTATTCTAAGTACTTACTACAGAATTCTTGATACTCCCCAGGTAACACATAACTTGCAGGTATAATATCAAAGTTTTTCACTCCCTATAAGATTAAAGAATATTTCATCATTAAAGAAGTTAAAAAACAAATCTTTACAATGTTTACTGTAATTTAAAGGTAGATTTCAAGCATTTACAGTAAGTAAGCTAAGGGAATCATCCTAAAATTAAAAGGTCCATTACATGTAGTCCAGATGAAAATTTGTATGAGTTCCATGTAGAAAACAAAAGCCTGCAGAATTTCTTTAACAACATTTACTTAACATGTGTTTTTGTGTGCAACAACATTTACTTAATGATTGTATGAATGTGTGTGTGCATGAGTGTGTGCATCTAAGTTACTCTTAAAATCACCTTTAAAGGAACAATATGTATCAAACTTTCACCAAATTAGAAACATGTATATCTTACGAGAATTTAACTACTTCATTTAAAATTAATACTTCATATATGAACATTTAATCACAAATAGGTAAAATGTACTTTTACAAGCTGTGCAACAAAATATAAAAATTTACCTTTATCTGTTGCATTCTTTGTAGATTTTTGTATAATCTGTCTTTCCTAGTTAATTCATATGATCTGAAATAAATGATTATTATATAATCAATTTAATATAAAATATATCAGCAATAAATTCCTAGCTCCATATATTCTCTTTTATGTAGGTACATAATTAGTAACATCTAAGATATTTCTTTAAGTTTCATATATATAATGTCATAAACTGCTATTATTTCCAAGCCCCTAGTCTAATAATGTCACAGGTTATTTTTTCTGTGACAGTGTGCTGAATGTCACCTTTTTTATTCATGAAATTCATGAAAACAATTACTGCAAGTAAATGATTATTTCTGATTATCTTTGTTAACCGGTAAAAACCCTACTTAAAATAGCAGAATAATATTTTGTTATTCTGTTTACATGCAATATTCAATTAAATTATAAAGACGTTCTATGTTACAACTTTTTCAAGAATCGACCAATCAAACAACATCATTTATCATTTATAAAGTTTACATAAATGGTCTTCAAAGCACATTTAATTTAGCAGGTTGTTATCATAACAATTTTTTTATCAACCTGTTACATATGAATTAAAAAAAGAAAATTCAAATACCTTGGAAAATGGTTAATTTTCTGAAATTCTGACAAACTGCGTAGGGTGAAAGGTTTTAGATGGGCCCCTGTCCAAACAATGTTGTAATCAGAACTGTTAGGATGAACTTCATGAAAGCCATGACTGTTAAATATATTTCTGACAATCTTACATTCAGAGTTACCAAACTTGTAGGTCATATGATATCTCTCTGAAAAAAAAAACACAAACAAACATTTTATAACATAAGATTATTTACATGTTTGTGGAATACATAATAATATCTTTCCTGCAACAAAGTTTAGATTTGTATTTGGTTTAAGCTCGATTGGAAACAAGTTCTTGCAACTTAATTTGTATATCACTTTCGAATCAGCTTCCTGGAACCAACCAGTACTGGTGTCATTTGAAGAAACATGGTCGTGACCCAATTAGGGCTCAAACTCATGATCCCAGGGTTGAGAGGCAGACACCTTAACCACTATGCCACCGCTCCCCTTGTATTTAATATGCCCTTTTTTCAAACTGTATGTGTTTTTTCATCTTTATTTTTACCGACCTAAATAAAAAGATATGAGAATAAAGAAAATGGAAGAAAACAGCATGAAGTGTTTATGCTTGTCAGTTAAAAGGAGCATAACTCGAAAAATAATGCTTTCAGAATTAACCATCTCGTCATGATAAGAAAATATTCTAAGTTTCATGTTGATAACTTTAAAAAACAGTGATCTTAATAGCTCAACTTTTTTCTTTGAAATAGACAAGCTAAAAAACAAACATTCTTTTGCTTTGGCCTCACACCAATATGAATGTCCTTGGCAAAATAAAAAAGCCAATATAAAATCAGCTAATAAATAACAATATACAAAGTGTAGGATGTTCAAGGATTTCCTAACTTACCCCCAACAGTTCTCATGCTGGAGCGCTTGTTATATAAACATGCTGCATTGAACAAAATTACTGGCGTTTTCTTTCCATACCCTGTCCATTGTAAATTCATTGAAGGTTTAGATCTGGAAATATACAGAAATGCATGTTTATAAATGTAGTCATACAACTATGTGTAAATTATTCAAAATCAGAATAAACATACAAATAACAATTTGACAAGGAGGAAATTGAGAAGAATATTCAGAATATTGTGTTTCATCAAATGCAAGGTAGCAATATGTCTGCATGTAAAAATCCAGAAAAGGGTGATCCCTCGGAAGCATTATGCATTAAATTTCATCCCATTCCCTTTAGTAATTTTGGAAATACCAACTTGCACGTAAGAACTTCACCACAGTGTGACGGCGAAGCTGATGTGAGTACAACTGCTCTCCTTATTCACCGAATAGTCATGCTAAAAATGAACATGGACAAATAAAGAAAAAAATCTTACGAGACATCTTCTTCTTCACTCTCATAATCAGAATCTCTTTCGCTTCTTTCATCAGATGAGCTACCATCAGATGGTGTAAATGAGCCTCCATCAGAATCTACGTCTTTTGTTGATGCCATATTTGTTTAATTATTTTTCCTTTTTCTTCTTAAAACTGCAAATTTGTTATACCCGATTTGATCATGATTTTGCAAGCACCTGTTATAAAAAATTTATGAACACAAATTTATAAGCTTCCTATATTGGTAAGTTTAGATATTGAACAAACAAATTCATTGAATCTTAAATTTGATGTTAAAGTATTTATTTACAAGAATGAGTTTACACACCAAACTAGAAATATTTAATATGGCTAATAGAAGATAGTATCAGGACTATCAGAAATTCATGGAAAATGTTTAACAGGCGATAATCAGTATGTAAAAACCTCTTAATTGTAAAAGGAGAAAAACAGTGCAATTTATCTAATAAAATTTGGAAAATTAAAATATTTACTTATTTAATTGTCAATATACAATCATTCATGTATGTGCAATTAATTATTTTTTGAAAATACAACTTAGTATGCTTTGTTAGATTTACACTGATTTTATAATAAATAAAAAAATATTAAATATAAGATGGGGTGAAATGTCAGTACAGAGGGCAGGGCTTTTTTTCACAGGTTGGGGAAGCAGCCCAGCCCTTAAGTTTGGGGAAAAATTACACGGTATATTTGCAAAAGGGGAAGAAAAAACTTGATGTAAATTAAATTTTGGGGAAAACTGCATGATTTTAAAGAAATTTTCTTTGGGGAAGCAGTCCTATACCGGCCCCTGTTAAAGAAGGAAAAAAGGCCCTGGTGGGGCAAGTCCTTTTGGGCGATTGGTTACATTACCAATCTAAGTGAGCTCTTATTAGATTAAATCATTTAAGCAAATTGAAGGACTTAATACATGTTTTGTTTATTTTTTCATCAGAAATTCCATTCACAGTAATTCATTGACTTGACAGGTCAATAAAAAATTTAAAAACACAAAAACAATGTATACATATGCCACAGGGTGAAAAAAATGTGCAGCCTGACCAGGACTCAAACCCGGACACTCGGAATACCATACAGCAGCCCTACCTGCTGAGCTATCCAGCAGCTTACACATCATCTCCCCTAAATAGTGAACAGTTCTGAACCATGAAATACTCCCCTGCTAAATTGAAATTTGTCCTCAAATTTCACAGAGTTACAGAGCAATGTAAATTAAACTTTGAGCTATTTGCAGTCATAGCCCCACATTGTGCGCCAAATGTCACAGGGTAAGAAAAATGAGCAGCCGAACCAGGACTCAAACCCGAGACCCTCGGAATACTATACTGCAGCTCTACCAACTGAGGTTGCCGGCCACCTACACATCATCTCCCCTAAATAGCTAACAGTTCTGAATCGTGACACATAGTTAACACTTTGATCAGTATTCGATCCATTCACTACATCTATTCTATGACAACACAAATAATGCTCATACAAATTGAAATTCATGTTGGTAAAGCAAACAAGCAAAACTTAATCTATAAAAATATGTAATAATAAATCGTTTGCTAGCTTCATTTTGTTCAACTTATTCAGCCAATTACAGGATTTAAATTCAATGACATAATTATGGTGTCTTCATCAGTGATTTGAAAAAAAAAGTGACAAATGATTGAGCTAGAAAAAAATTCTACTAAAAGAGATTTTTTTTCAACGATTTAACTTTTAAAAGGAAGGACAATTTTCTCAAAAATAGTTTACATACTATCCAAAAAGTTGTTAATGATAAAATTCCTCCATTACTGCAGTTGTTTACACTAGCGACCCCGTTGCCCGCAAGTTCCAACAAGCGCACCGTTTTTCAGGTGCATTTTGGGATAAAATGGCTGCGCCCATGAAGAAGTTCTTGACCAGAATTGTTGCTCAAACTGGGGAATCACCTATTGGTTCAGTTATATTTTTGCATGGATCGGGTAAATATGTTTTGTAATACTAGAAAATAACCCTAGAACGTTTAAACAGTTGCCAGTTTGCAATTATTTCCAATATTCCGTTACGGTGTCTGTTATAATTTTCTGTCGTTATTTTCATGTAAAATATGGTTGGAAGCTACAAATGAATTTAAAGCCTTGCAAGGCATAACGTCACTAAATTAGCATACTCTGTCCGGTAATAGGACATTTCGGACCATAAACATTTCGGACCAGACATTTCGGACCAGATTTTGGGACACTTCGGACCATATTTAGGGAAATTTCGGACCAGATTTTTGGACATTTCAGACCATGTGTTGGACATTTCGGATCATGCGTAAGACACTTCGGACCATCGTTTTGGACATTTCGGACCATGTGTTGGACTTTTGGGATCATGTGTTAGACACTTTGGACCATTGTTTTGGACATTTCGGACCAGATTAAATATTATTTTTTGATATATTATGCATCAATTATTCTATAAACTGAAGAGTAACTTTAGTATATATGAGGCACCATAGAACAATTTTACACCTATCCAGATTTAGATTTTATATCTGTTGCACTATAAATAAAGATGATTTAAAAAAAAATGTTTTTGTGGCACACTTTTTGAAAACAAATATTATAAAGTATATGTAAAAAGACATGACAAAATAAATCATTTACAACATATTCTAATATCACAAATCATACATTATCTTACAAACACATACATACAAATGAATGTATACATTTAGATAATTATTGACCCTTATGGATCTAACAAAACACAGGGACAACAATATTTACATGTAAAATAAGATATAAATAATTCAGATTAATATAATTACATACATTCTTCTTTAATTGAGTGAAACTTGACTTAAACGAGTTCTATTGAGCAATTAAAACGTGTGAAAAACTGCATTGACAAGGATGTCGTAGTTCTTTAATACCTGCCAGAACACGATTTAATTTGATTAAAATTGTCTTTAAATAGGTATATTCAGCGTGTGTGGGTACTTATTGTGCACCTTATTATATAGTTGATTAAACAGGTATGTAAATCAATTTCAATTCTTTTAAATAAGTTAAACATAGCGTATCATTATCTATATTCTGTATGAAGGGCATTCGCATAAATATATTCAACATTTACAAAGGTATTCTATTATTGTTTTAACATTTTTTTCAATATTAAAAAAAATGTCAGCGTATATAGAAATTCATAAATGAATAATGATATAAATTTTTACATGGATAATCAAAACAAAAATAGAGGTCTATAAGCTTGTCAGGAAATGTGAAAATCTCGTCAGACCGGTCTTTTCTGCATGCATTTTGAATGTCATAAAATTTTAAAATGTCAAATATTTGTTGCATTTATCATAAGAAAATATTGTAATAACACCCTAAAATAACAAATATATATAAAAAAGGACTATAAGGTCTATTGAATAAAAATTTCTGGTCCGAAATGTCCCCCATCATGGTCCGAAATGACCATCTCATGGTCCGATATGTCCCAAAATCTGGTCCGAAATGACCTAAAAATCTGGTCCGAAGTGTCTGGTCCGAAACGTCTGTGGTTCGAAATGTCCGTAATTCCTCTGTCCGTGTTAAAGAAAAAAAATGAAAGTTTAAAAATGAAATATTGACTAATGTAACTCAAATGCAAATTGCTGTTTCTTTGCTTCACAAGTGGTCTCAATATAACAACTTTAAGTAGTTAGCCAACTGCCTAACCCTAACTCATAACCCTCTAACAATAACACTCACCCATAACCATACAGTAACCCTAGAAGTCATCTGAGTGATATTGTAGAGAAACGTAAATATTTAAGAAATAATATTCGGTAAAATTATAATGTAAAGTGCCAATAATGGGGGCTATTTTCAACTTGTGGTGTTGATGTGTTTCGAAAGACTGCTTTTTTCCGAAGGTCAGGGGCTATGGTAATTATTGACCAGTGTATATTTTTTTATTTTATGATTAAACAAAATCTTTTAACTTTGGTGTCACTTTAGATATAGTGGTATTTCTTATTGTGCAGGTGATACTGGAATGGGTGTGCAAGAATGGGTAAATAGTGCTCTTGGCTTGAAACAGTTGACATTCCCACATCTTAGAATACTGTACCCTACAGCACCTGCTAGGTATACCAAAGAAATATTTTTTTGTAGCGAGCAACATATAGGGATCATTTCTCTGTCATATGTCTGTCCGTCCATCTATCACAAAACTTAACTGGACTACTCTTCAAAAAGTACTGGCGCAATTTCATCCAAACTTTACAGGAATAATCAGTACCATTAATTAATCTTAAGTTTTTCATATAATCTGTGTTTTCCAGTTCAATGATATTTTTTTCAAAGTTATGGCCCTCTGATGGATTTTTATTTTAAAATTTGTCCAGACTACTTCTCTTAAACCAGTAATGCAATTTGAATGAAACTTTACAGGGATGTTCCATGCACATTATCATGGGCAAAAATTTACTTGGTAGAGAAATCACTCAAGATATGTATCCTTGAAAAAAGAAACACACCATTTGATATTTGTTAAAAGTTATATCAACACCATTTTGGGGTATTTCTTATCAGGATGATGGGGCAAATGTTCTGTGTGGCAAAGCATTCTTCAATTTTTGAAAAAGTAGTGTGTTCTTTGAATTCAGGTATTTTTCACAAACTATTTTTACCTTTTTCAGCCTTGTTCTGGTCAAGGGCTCTGCAACAGAATTGTTGAGGGCTCTCATTTAAACAAATCACCAAAATCTGAAAGATCCACCATTTAGTAGGTTATGTAATTTGAGTGAAACTTAACAGGATTGATTGATGTCTCAACTGCTTGCACATAATGAATGAGTTGTCCAGTTTATTGATTTTTGGCTGAGTTATGGTCCTTGAATACAAAAAAAGATTTTGGTCTGTTTATGATGTTTGTGTCTCCTGATACACAGTACCTACATGCTACAAAGTTGCCTTGAGATATAGAGAACAAATAGGTCAATCATCCATCAATACAACTGATTAATTGGCTATCATATGGTGGCACATGTAATCACTGATAGCTCTTGTCTTTTGGTGATTTTTAGCTCACCTGTCACACAGTGACAGGGTGAGCTTTTGTGATCACTTTTTGTCCGGTGTCCGTCCGGCATCTGTCCCTCCGTAAACTTTTACTTTAAATGACATCTCCTCATAAACCACTAAGCCAATTTCATCCAAACTTCATAGGAAATGTAACATTCTGTTTATTTGAGGATTATTATTAAAATCAACACCATAGCTTATAATACAGCTTTATTGTTTTACATTCGTACATACACTGTCACTCTCTATATAATACAGGATATACATAACATATTAAAAACAACTATCTAAATAGCTCCACCTCGTGGGTGTATACTAAGTGTCAGTCATCACATCCTCCCTTGATTTGAATAGTTTCTCACGGTATAAATTCATAAACTAATAATATCTACTTCTAATATGAACACCTAGAAAACTAATTGCTTATTAGATAAATATAACACTATAATGATTGCTTGCTTATTAGATAAATATAACACTATAATCCAACTTCTAATGTCAGCACACCCTTTGTTTGATAACACAATTATTATCCAAAGTATGGTTTTACATGACTTACATTCCTGTAATAAATGTTGCCACTTGTACTTATCACCTTCACAGATGTGCCCTTTTGACTTACAACCCTACAGATATCATTTGCCCAATTAGTTAACATTTTACCTTTATTTTTCTCATGTCTGAGAATTAGGACTCTCTGCCCTATCTTGAATTTTCTGTACCCTTTGGCCATATGTTTGTTTGCCCAATATTGAATTCTTTGTTTCTGTATCCTGTCCCTATTTCTCAATTTTGCGTTAACTCTTATTTTTTCTAACTGTGGAATTTTTGTTTTAATATCTCTGTTAAACATCAAAAATGCTGGTGCAAAATTTGTAGTGCAATGTGGTGTTGCTCTGAAATGTAGCAAAAATGTGTTTAATGCGTCTTTTCAATTTTTGTTTTCTGAGATTGCAGTATGAACACACTTTTTTAGAGACCTATTAAAATTCTCTACTAAACCATTTGACCTAGGAAAGTATGGTGTTGACCTACAATGTTTGATGCCATGTTCATGACAAAATGCCTTAAATTCCTCACTGCAAAAATTTGGTGCATTATCCGTTCTAATTTGACTTGGATATCCAAACATTGCAAACCATTTACTTAACTGATTTATGATTGACTTACTAGTGGTTGACTTTAGAATTGCCACTAAAGGATACCTGGTGTAATAATCTATCAGAACCAACAGGTTCTCATTATTTATTGGACCCATAAAATCTATGCTTAGTTCTTTCCAGGGGGAAGATGGAAGTTTTGTCATTACCACAGGAGGTTCTTGCGGGGTTTGAGACACCATCTGACATGCATGACAAGATTTTATCATATTTTCTACTTGTTTGTCTAAGTTTGGGAACCAAACTTTTTCTCTAATTAGCCTTTTTGTTTTCTGTATTCCCATGTGAGATGAGTGGGCGGATTGAAGTACACGGGATTGTAAATGCTCTGGAATGCAGAGTTTATTACCCTTCAAGATAAGAGAATCTTTGACCGAAAGATTATGTCTGACCTGGTAATAGGGTTTTAATTGCTGCGATTTTTCCCATTTATTTTTCTCGAGACAAGTGCGTACTTGTTTCAAGACTGGGTCACTTTGTGAACATTCTTGAAGTTCATCTAAGGTTACAGCTATTGGGACAGAACAATTTGTAACAAGATGCACATAATTTTCTGTTTGGCTACAGATTGAATCATCTGTTTCCCTAATTGGTTTTCTGGACAAAATATCTGCCCGATTCAGATAACCTGGTAGAAATTGTACTTGAAAAGAAAATGGCTGTACTTTTAAAACCAAGTTTAATATTCTTGGGGTTGATTCATGCCTTCGAGTGAAAATTTTCTCAAGGGATCTACAGTCAGACAAGACTGTGAAATTAATTCCCCATAGATAAACATGAAATCTGAGTATCATATACACAACTGCCAAGGTTTCGCGCTCAGCTTGACTGTAACGCCTTTCTACATCAGACAAGATACGACTTGCATAAGCTATTGGTTTAAACGTACCATCTTTTTGTTTTTGCTCAAGGACTCCACCTACCCCAACAGGAGATCCATCCACAATGAGCCTTGTTTCTGCTTCAGGATTATAATAGGACATGACCCTAGCACTTATGAGACATTGTTTGAGTTTTTCGAAGCTTTCATGCTGGTCATTTCCCCAGACCCAGGGTTCTTTCTTTCTTGTTAATTTTCGCAAGGGCTCAGACAGAGTGGCATAATTTGGGATGAATTTTGAACAGAATGAAACCAGACCTAAGAATGATTTGACTTCTGTGATATTGGTCGGAGGTTCGGCATCTCTGACTGCCCTGACTTTTGCGTCATTAATTTTGATGCCATCTTTGGACAGTATATGACCCATGAACTTATGGTTTTGTTTTCCACACTTGAAACATGTTACACCTACAGACTTTTTACACTGTTTACCATAATGTCCGATATCCCCACACCTGTAACACTTTGCTGTGCTAATGTCATATTTCTTCTTTTGTTGATGATGGTTTTGTTGGTGCTGTTGTGGTCTTGACTGCGATTTCGAAAATCGAGGCTGTGCTTGCCTTCTTGATCTAAAGCGCAATTTGTTTACTTCTACTTCGTCGACTAAATCATCTTTCTTGTTTGACATTAACTTCGCATGGGTGTCAGATAATTCATAGGTTCTAGCTACTTCCTGGAGTCTTTCTAATGTTAAGTTTTTTGTTGTTAACAATTTTTTTCTCAAATCATCAGATGCACAAGATTCTAAAACATGATCCCGAATTTGGTCGTCTTGGTCAATAAACTCACAGGACACTGCCAATTTCGACAAACGAACAACATAGTTATCAATTGTTTCACCACACATTTGTTTTGATTGATGAAACACATGCCTTTCGTATTGAATATTCTTTTTGGGTTTGAAATAATTGGATAGACTGTCAGCTGCATCCTTATATGTAGTTCCAGGGCTGCCTAGGCTATCAAAGACATCTTGTATTTGTGACCCACCAACATGCAGTAACAATGCTCTCTTTTGAGAATCTTTAGTAACTCCAGCTGCTTGAATATATATTTCAAATCGTTTTTCGTATTGTTCCCAAGCTTTTGATAAATTTGTTTGCTCCCCAACTACTATAAATGGTCCTGGTGTTGTTAGTTCAAATTTGGCTGCCATCAGTTTATTTCATGAAGACACTGTTTTAATTGTTTTCTTTGCTTATGTATTTAAATTGTTTCACTCAGATTTTTGTCTTAAATTAATCTGCTTAATTCCACATTTATTGTTTTGGCTTGCATTGTTTTTATTGTTCAACTTGTTTTTTTTTTTCACACTTAAATTGTTTTTAATTCCATTTGTTTGAAGGAATTAAAATTGATTTATTCCAATTGTTTCTAGATCAGAATATTTGTTTTAATCCTCATTTGTTTTATTTTTGTTTTTTGTCTTTAAACTTTATCTCCATTACTCGTCGCCAATGTAACATTCTGTTTATTTGAGGATTATTATTAAAATCAACACCATAGCTTATAATACAGCTTTATTGTTTTACATTCGTACATACACTGTCACTCTCTATATAATACAGGATATACATAACATATTAAAAACAACTATCTAAATAGCTCCACCTCGTGGGTGTGTACTAAGTGTCAGTCATCACAGGAATGTTCCTTTGGTGGTCACCTTTAAAAATTGTTCAAAGAATTTAATTCCATGCAGAACTCTGGTTACCATGGCAACCGAAAGAAAAAACTTTAAATATCTTCTTTTAAAAAACCCAAACAGCTAGAGCTTAGATATTTGGCATGAAACATCTTCTAGTGAGTGTCTACCAAGTGTGTTCAAATAAAAGCCCTGGGGTCAAAATTGGCCCCGTCCCAAGGGGTCATTGATTTTCCCTATATTCTTATAGTAAAAACTTAAAAAAATCTTCTGATAAAGAATCCAAAGAGCTAGAGCTAAGATATTTAGCATGAAACATCTTCTAATGAGTGTCTACCAAGTTTGTTCAAATAAAAGCCCTGGCTTCAAAATTGGCCCCGCCCCAGGGGGTCATTGATTTTCCCTATATGCATCTAGTAAAAACTTATCTTCTTTTAAAGAACTCAAAGAGCTAGAGCTAAGATATTTAGCATGAAACATGTTCTAGTGGGTGTCTACAAAGTTTGTTCAAATAAAAGCCCTGGGGTCAAAATTGGCCCAGCCCCGGGGGTTATTGATTTTCCTTATATGTGTATAGCAAAAACTAAGAGGTACTTTCCATTCTGTTATACTGGTATGTAGAAATGTAGAAAGATAAAACAAATAACAGGAGCTAGCTTTTAATCTTTTACATGAATAAGTGTATTCAAATTTTCAAATTAAAACAAAATTAAAGGAAATGTCATTATGATTACCTGTATTTGTTTTAGGTCTTACACCCCTATGATGGGACAATACTCCAATGTATGGTATGACAGACAACATATATCACCATCAGCTCCTGATGATACTTCTGTAGATACAATGGCAGCCGACCTTTCTGAACTTATTAAATCAGAGGTAGAACTTGGCATCCCAGTCAATAAGATTGTTATAGGTCAGTGTAAAGTCTGTTTCATGGTTTTCTTTTTTAGCTTGTGTATTTAAAGAATAGGGAGCTTATCTCTCTCATAGGTCTATGCATTAGCACCCTGGTCAGCTGAACATGCTTAAGTTATGTGTGCAATTTTATGTCTCATTAATTACAGAAATTTCTTCATTTGAATCTTCAAACATGTCTTCTAAATCTCTTACAGAGTCCAATAATTGTGGTAGGGATTTTGACTGGATTATAAATAGCCTTTGTAAATGTAAAAAAATCATTGTATAGATTGCTCATTTTGTATGATCAATCTCAACAACTATGGAAGAAATTAACATGTTTTTTTTCCAAGACTCATAAGTCAACTCATAACACATTTGACTGAATTAATAACTCATTTGATTGAATCATAATAGTCCATAGTGAACTTAAATTTTTCTTGCTAAATGTTGAAAATTTGTTTGCAAGATCAATCTCAATAAATGTCCAATTTGTTCTTTTGAAACTACACAAACTTGTGTCCCAGGGATAATCAAGTGTATGTCATTGTCATTATGTCCTTGTTTATTTTATAGACAGTCTTTAAAGTGATGAAAATCATTGTTGATGAGATAAGTAGTGATCATTGAATGATTTATTCTGTTGTAGTGCTAACTCATATTTGATCTCTAAAGAAATTTTTTTTATTTGATCTTTCAGGAAAGTGTTTTCTTGAAAACATTTTCTTGCAGTGAATTCTCTATTTATCAATTTCTTGAGCATTGTATTGTTTATTCTAAGAGACAATGTAACTATTCCACGTTTAGTGATGTATCACATGTATCAGATTCTGTAGGTTATAACTTATCATAGTCAAAGGTATCCTATAGCTACTTTGCAAAAGATAATTGGCTCTACCCAGGTGCTACATATGCCTGAAATTATACATAAAATGACATATATACTCTGTATTAGTCTTCTTTCATCAGTAACATTGGAAAATTGCCACAACCAATGCATTAAGTAGGCATTCACAACACCTGATAATAAATTGCTTGAAATTCATATCCTAAATGAACCTCATTTAAAGTAGCATTCAAGGGTATAAAGTGAGTGAATAGGTGAGGCTCAAAATAAGCTTTTTTATTGCCATATTCCCTTTTAATTTAATAATTTAGTTCACGTAAACAATAAATTACCCCGGATGCAAACGGAATTTCTGTAAAGATCAATTAGAATTTACCTGTAACGTTCGGTTTATAAAAAGAGTGGGGCAGTCTTTTTATATTTTACGCAGATTTAAGATTTTATCCTAACCATTTTCCAATACAAACTGTTGGTCAAACACCATTTTAACAGTCAATTTTTTTAAATAAAAAAGTTAATTCAGCACACCTTGACTATATGAGCATTATGTCACTTTAATTTTTGAAATATCATGAATATCTTCCTTTTCAGACCATGCAGTTTTATTGTCAGTTTTCTGCTTTTAATTCTATTAACAATGAAATTAATGATTGTTTAAAAAACCAGAAATGGACAGCTATCATTGCATTGTCTGTAAATGAGTGGAACAATTTATATCATTTATAAACATTTTAGTTAAATTAAAATGTCGTTATTGGTTTGGTTTCAAATTTTTTGTTTGTTTGTTTGTTTAAGGAGGATTTTCAATGGGTGGAGGTATGGCTTTACAGCTGGGATACAGATATCTGCGTGAAGTAGCTGGCGTGTTTGCCCTCTCGAGCTTCCTTGGCACACAGTCATTAGTTTATCAGGTAATGGTAGCCTTTTGTGTGCATATGATGATTGGATGGAGCATTTATTTGTCCTACAGATCTTTGATCCTTTCTTTTGTCTTTCTGTCACACTTCCTTAGTAACCATTTGTCAATTATAGCAATTTCATTTACTGACTGATAACTTATATAATTGGTATTTAAGTATTTTTCATTGACATCTACCATTCTGTGAGGTTTCATGTTAATTTGAACAATGCTGCAGCATAATACTGGTACTGTTGTTCATTTTTAAATTTTAACATTTGTCTTAGTGATACAATTGTTTATGCCTAAGGTGTGAACATTTCAAGACACATAACAGTAACCATTATAACTACAAGTAAAATTCAAAACTACTTAAATATTCTCTTAAACTTTCTTGTATAATTTTGAATGTTTTTCGTTTTTTAGGCCCTGAAAACTGACTCAAGATCATTACCACCTTTGTTTCAAAGTCACGGTGAAGAGGATAGTTTAGTGATGTATTCATGGGGGAAAGACACCTTTAACAAACTGTCAGAACTGGGTGTGAAGGGACAGTTTCATTCTGTACCAGGTCTATATCATGATTTAGACAAACAAACATTACTGAAAGTCTGTGACTGGATCAGTGAGCAGGTTCCACCAAGTTGATAATTGTAGCAGAGTCTTCAGACTTATATGTCAGAATTTTATAATACTGCACATTCATACTTGATCAGTTTTGATTGAACATTCAACAGTCATGTATATTATCGTACATGCCTGATACAAATGAATTAATAAAGTAATTTAGTATTTTTCAATCAAAGAAAACAGTTGTGCAGTATTTTAATTCATTTATAAATAACTTTGAAGGTTATATGGCTGTATATAAACAGTTTGCTACTGTATATAGCCTTTTTCTTGTGGCTTTGTTTTTATATAAAATTTCAACCATTTATACATGGCCATAAAACTCTGTCAAAAAATAATAATATAATATATGACAGTATTCCAGATATATAGTCAGCAACATTGAATCATTTTGATTATTACTGTAAATTATTTGGCACACCAGCTGAATTCCATAATCATTGTGAAAAGTATTATAAAACTTGAGATGAGGCTGGTTGGCTCCTTCTTGGTTTAACTTTAAAATGGACCAGTCACAGGATCGCTTTCCAGAATCTATTCATTTCTTAACTTTTTATAGGAATTTTATATTCATACCATATAAATGTCCTCATAAAAATGATTTTTATAGTTTCTCAAATATCATTTTATCATGAAAGCACCATGTTATTTTAGTCTCACTATTAACAGGAAATACTGGAACATTCATATAAACAGAAAATGTTATTTAAAAGTATGTTTTTATCAGGTACAGTGTGATTATGAAATTTGTACCGAAAATCAATAATCTTTCCAACGGTACATTAAACATGAACGTTCATGGTGTATTATAGGTGTACTTTCATGTGCAAATCATGGTCAAATTCAGTTATCTCATTCACACCACATAGTAACTCGTGCACACGACTTAATTATCCCGTGTGCACGACCACACGAGATACATAAAAACACACATGTCACCTCTGTGCCACCGAAGGAACATTTTATTTTTGTCCCACGTTTTTATTATTTCATTATGTCTTGTATACAAAAATTTATGTAATTCAGGAATTGTTATAGATTTTTAATATGTTATTGATTGATTAATAAAGATCTAATAAATAATAAAGAAATTATGTTTTATTGTATGTTTATTTTATGTTGTGTCATTCATAAACTATATAAAAATGTCAAATCGCTCATCTTCAACTAACCACTAAAGGTTCAAATAGCGCAAATACTTTGATACTTTGTGAAGACGTTATCTGGGTTGTTTCTACTTGACTTACTGTCCCATGTTCTTGAAATAATGCAAGGAGTTGCACACAAGGTCTTTCTCCATCACATCTGATATCATCGGATTACCTCCACAGTGTGAATGTCATTGTATTTACATCCGACAGTAGTACAATAAGTGAGTTTATTACAAATAACGATAAATAATTAACTGATATATCAGTAAACTATTATTAAGACGGCTGAAACAAATTAGATATATAGTCTCTGCTTACTAGTACTTTAATATCATCACTAAATTCTAATCCCCAGGATTTATTAAGCAATTTATTTGTTACAATCGTAGAGCTGTAGGTCTATGTTTATTTAAATGGAGGACGTTCAAGTCCGAGTGATTATGGTCGTTGACTTCAAACCCCTCATTACTGTGGGTTCGAATCCCGACAGGGACTTCGGATTATTTCATGTGAGGAAGCTCTCCAGCTCGCTTAAGGAAAGTCAGTGGTTCTACTCGAGTTCCCGTTGGTACCTGAAGTAATTCACAGAATGGCACCTGAGGTCTTCCTTTACAATTAAAGCTGCAAAGTCGCCATATGACCTATACTGTGTTGGTGCGACGTAAAATCTGTCGATACATGCACTTTCGTATGCTAATACAATGCTCAAGTGAAATACATTTAATATGTAACAATAAATATATGGATACATGTACACGTATACAATGGATTCTCCCTGAGATATCGAACAGTAACAGTTCAATGGTGATAATATGACAGTAAGGTGCTTATATGGAGATAATTTACGGTGATACTAAACAAATGTTAAGCGTTTGACTCAAGATCATTGTCAAACTTTTGAAATAACAGATCTTTTAATGACAATTTTTATCATTATTCTCGTGCTTTTACAACAGATACTGAAAATATTTCCAGTCAGTTGCTAAAGGCGTAAAATTAAAAGAAAGTTAAATCTGGAATCAAAGAAATGATATATCGACATTCAGCTGTTCACAAGCCGCTGTTTCCTTGAGCAAGAAATTTTACATTCATTGCTTAGAACTGGTTGGTCAAGGAACGGATTCGAAAGTATTTCAATAATCTTATAGCTTCCAACACAATCGAACTGAAATAAAGTTGTATAAACTAAATATTCTTTTGGGAAAAGATGAAATCAAATACATGTTAATCAGATAGTTATGGTCATTCCGGGGTCGTCTTCCTCTTGTTTATAGGGCGTTTTCAGTTAGGGTGTCCCTTTTTTTCTTGATAACATAGGACCTATGTAGCTTACCCCATGTATAATGCTTCTTTGCGTCAAAAGATTACAGGCTTCGCTAAAATTTCGCCAAATTTCTGGCTTTTTAATAAATCTGTTTTATATATATACTGACCAAGGTGGAAACCCATGCATGAACTAACTCGGTTTAGTTTTATGACAGATTTCTACGAAATGTTCTATGCTTATGTTAAACAATAAACTATTATCTAAAAATGAATAAAAATAACCAAGTCAGAAGCATGAGAAGGATTCTGAACTGAGAAAATCAGAGATAAAGTTACCTACCCTTTAGTAAAAATAAATGCTTTTAAATTTAAAGTCTTTCAAGTTTGAAATGATTTACTTTGACAGTTTTTGAGAAATTGACCTTAAAAACAAAAATATATAATAAAGATAATAAGTAAAAAGGGGGCATTCCTTTGCAAAATATTATATTTTAATAGTGAACGTACATGTGTATTAAGTCGAAGTGAATAGCTTGATAGTTTCTGAGAAAATGGATCTTAATGACAGGTTAACCAAGAAGAATAAAGTTATTTTAGGATTATCTGCCGTTTTGAAAAGGTGTTCTTTGATGGCAATAAACATGTATGCCAAGGAAGAAGAACAAAAAAAAAAACGAAAAAAATAGCAGCAGCAACAACAACAAACGAACAAAATAAAACAATTTCAGTCCATGTAACTTTGGTAATGTCAACTTCAGACGTGTAAGACAACTTTCCCCCATACTAAAAAAGGCAGCAACGAAGGCATTAGGCCTTCCAGTTTCCAGGACAGTGGGCGTTCAATGAGATCATAAATATTTCATCTTTTTCATCGTTTGAAAATGTAGATTATATTTTTGATGGTTAATATCAATTAAGTTTTTCGTATAAATTTAGTGAGAAGCTCGCCGTGCATATTTCAATTGTGTAACTTCACATTGTTACAGAAGTATGGCCGGCACGCGTATGTATACAGGTATAAGACCACAGGCAATCGGTGCGTGCTTGGATACTATACATGTAAATGACCACGCCCCTTTATTTTTATAAAAAATTTTTTTCACTAATAAAATGTTTTTTTCGCAAGACAGTTCTCCTAAAATCAGTCATCACAAATAAAGGAATAAAATAAGAAACAAGGGCAGTGACATAAGGAAAAACAACAAATTTTAACAGAAAGACAAATTAATTCAGTTATAATATAATATCAGACATCACATCATTTTTAAGTTAACCATATTATAATCGTCACTTGTATACCACAACTGAAATTTATCTGATTTATGTTTTGTGATGTCCGTAAACAGAAAACAACAACCTTTAAAAAAAATATCTCCAAAATTTGTTAAACTTTTCTCTTTGACCCTTTTCATCTTGGGTAGTTCCAGTATTCCTACTTGAATACAGTAAAATTACCCTTAGGATATGGTGTCTCCTCTTTAAATTTGTCTTTTTGACGTCTTGTATGTGATATGCAGGCTGTATAACCTCATATCCCCTTTTAAAATTCCATATAAATTTATTTAGTTCTGTCCATTGTTTTCTCGTTTCGGGCACACGCATTCTTATATCATGGGACAATACGCCGCTTGTGGAATGGCACTAACGTGTCACATTGAATGTTTCATAATAACCGGTGGATGTTTCATAATTTCACCATTTTCTTGTTTAGTTATTGAGTTCTGCTTTTCCAGTACCGTCCATGTACAGGTTGAATTAAACCAAGCCATCTGCATTTTTAGTTTAGTCGTTTTGAACGTTTCATTGGTGATTCCGTTTTCTCTGTTTTTAAAGCTTTATTTGAAAATGTAAATATTCTATATCAAACTCGCATAGTAACGAATCATAGCCTCCCGTGGATACCTTTTGTAAATAAAATTCGCAATACATCGAATATATTAGAGATGATAAATGAAGCATTAACATTACTCAGGGTCTTCAAATAGAAATTCTATTTGTAAGACCTGCATAAATAAGAAGAATAAGTAGAAAAATAAGATTGTTAGTGTTAAGGTCACACCAATAATAGGTTGCCCGTGTCACGGATCTTAATATAAATCCGTGCCCGTGTGCATAGCCAAATTCAAATGCACGCGCTATGATGTAAACAACCTTGCGCCACCTAGTGGAAAATCATAAACAGATAAAAGTTTTAAAAGCGCCAAAATTTGTAGGTGAACTTTTATTTTGTCCCGTCAGTTTTTTCTATTAAAGGAGAATATTGTCGACTTTCCGTCTACACTAGGAACTCATTATTTAAAAAAACAACCTTACTGAGATGGTTATTTATGGAATTTTATAACGTCTTTATGCTGCTGATAACGATTCGCCCCAGTGACTATTCGCCCTAATTTTTGCAACTAATCACAATGTCAATGACGATTTGCGCCATTTTGTATAAACCATGTTTTAATGTAATTGGTAAAAAAATTGATCATGATTTCTGTTATATGTGCAGCGCCTTTTTACCTTCTATAACAGGGGCCGGTGGGCTATAGGGCTGCTTCCCCAAAGAAAATTTCTTTAAAATCATGCAGTTTTCCCCCAAAATTAAATTTACATCAAGTTTTTTTTCCCCTTTTGCAAATATACCATATAATTTTTCCCCAAAATTAAGGGCTGGGCTGCTTCCCCAACCTGTGAAAAAAAGCCCTGATGTGTGTATCTTTAAAACATTTGGTAGATCTTGGATGCCCTGTTTCAGTGACGACCGAATTTCAAATTTCAGTGACCTTTTTATAAAATGCTGCCACATTGAAAAGCAATGTTTTAAATTGTTTATCCCAGAGGGACTGTTTATGTTATCTTATTCCTTGATGCAACCTTGAAAAATGGCCAGAAAATACAAAATTGTGTATCTGACATTATATTTTTCCTGAAAATCCTTCTTTTAAAGCATTTTCCATAGATGTCATTAATAACAGATGACGTCATTTTAATAAAAATATAAGATCAAATATAATAAACTGTTGATAACTGTAGTCTGTCCATAATACATGCACCTGCTCTATCACTTATTTTCCTACAGAATATTATATTTTTTTTAACAAAAGCTATAACTATTAAAAATATATTTTAGCTTTTTATGATTGTCAGCCTATTTTCTCCCTGTCTATAATTTAATTGTGCTGATAAACATGAAAATATGAGTAAACAATGAAATTAAAATACACATTTCACTTACATTTCCCATAATTTTTAGTCAAAGCAGGCAAAAATCTAAGAAAAGAAGAGTATTTTCTTACCACTGAATTTGTTGAAAGAAGTATCTTGACATTCTTGTATTGTAAAACTTTCAGATTTAATATTAAAAGAATATCAATACTTGAAAATGAACTTTTTAATGAAAATATTAAAACCTTATTACATTTTGTGTAAATTTTTTCTACTCCACCCCCAAGTGTTTCATACAGTATTCTTTTCTCAAACCATCCTAATTAATGTGCCCAATATGATATATCTTGTATTTTTAAAGCATTATGTTTAGTATTGATAATAGTTTGTGTATGGATGCTATATCCTTTGACTATTTTTTGCTAATGATTTTGGGTAAGACATAAGATTTTTTGAAATAGGGACTTTTTGGTGTTTGTGATCTAAATAAGAGTCGGTTTGGTTGATACGGTAAAAAAATTTATTTATATATGTATATTGCTATTGTTGTGTTAGAATTTATTAATGAAGAAAGGTTATTTTTCAAGAGTCTGAAGTTTAAATAAGTTTCCTTCAATTTTCTTTATCATAGTGGTCAGAATAATGTTAGGGTCACTGAAAGTGGTCCTTCAACAATATATATTCTACATGTTCTATTCTTAGGACTCTAAGATGACATTTTTGTTTCATTTTGGATGATAAAATGGTCAATGTAACCAGAAATATTAACGTCCCTGGTTTAACTTTTGGTTACAGAACTACTAAAGATGATAAAATGTTCATGTATTTTGTATAACTGTCACCAGAGGCAGATAATAAATAAGATGTATGGATTTACTATGATTATTAGTGATAATTGTTATTCTATTCTGTACATATTTGTTATTAAACAGGCAGTTAATTGTTAAATGTTTTAAAATGTTGCTTTTAATATTCCTGTTCATTTTATAAATCATTTGCACCTTCATTTTTAAAATATATCACCGATGATTTTTGTTTATACAGAGTCAGAACAAGAGAAATTTCTGCAGTTTTAATGAACATGTCATTTGTGTGATGAAGATGTTTCAACCTAATATATAAATCAGTATATTTAACAATTAATGGTATCTTAATACATTTAAATGCCTTTTTTGTAAATGTGCCAAATCTTATGTAAATCAACATTCATTAACTCACTTTATAATTAAATTTCAGATCATGTTGTTTCAAGACCTGAATGGGAATTTCCAATTTGGGGAAGCAAATCATGGTTCTGCAAACCATTATCACAGACCTATGCCGTCTTTTTACGAGGGAAGGCACACTAACAATGTCCCTGACATTAACCTTGAATGTGATGAAACAATAGATAACTGGGATGAATTTGAATCTAGCATCTATAGCAAGGACAGAAATCAGAAGTTTCATGGGTATAATGAAAGGAGCAGTGAAGGTGACATCATTGATGAAAGCTTTGAGTTTTACAACGACTTTCCTCCACCTAACTCTCCTACTAAAGGGTTACAGGTTGAGCAGCCAGTGTTGCAGTTACATAGTCAGTATGTCAGCAGTCTGTTGCAAGCCTGGAGAGATTCTCAAACAACAAAAGAATCAAATAGAAGCAGTGACGGCTTTAGTTTACCATCTGATGATCCTGAAAGTTCCCAAGAAAGCTATGAATGTCAAGAAGAACACAGCCTTGGGTTTGACTATGAGATGGTGAGTGAAAATGAAGCAAATCAAGAAGCTCTAAATAGTAATTCAAATTTACAAGACAGGAATAGTAGTGATTTGAGTTCTTCAATTCAACTGGCACAGCAACCAGTATCACACAGCTCATCAAGGTCAAATTCACCGACTGTGATGGAAATGTTAACACATTTCAGACGAAATATCATAAACTTTCGCTCAATCTCTCCAGTGATCGTGCGTTCACCTTCACCAATTAGCTCACGCTCCTCATCACCAAGATTTGTACGTTCTCCATCTCCTCTGGAATTCCTAGAACACAGCCTTTCTAGCTTGCCACTGGATGATTCCACTGAGCTTGTGTTCTATGAAGATAGATATATAGTTAGAAGTTACAGCCCTGTATCTTCTAGCCAAAGAGATCATCAGGTACCAGATGTAAATATGGACTTCCAACAGACTGTATCAGATTCTGAAGAATTTCCATCTTTCCGTACTTACACCCGCAGAATACAGAACTCTTGTCTAGACCAAGTTGTACCAGATTACATAGAAGAGTAGATATAATTTTAATTGGATACTGGACATGTCAAATTGAAAAAAAGATATAATTCTATATGATAAAATTGTGCATCATATCTTTTTAATTAGAGATTCACATGGTGACAGTCACTGTAACACTCAGTGAAATTATAATCAAATTTAATAAAATAAAATTGAAAAGATTTTAAAATTAAACCAAATCAAATAACATTTATGATAAAATATTAAGGGTTATTTCTGCATAACAATTATCGTCTGCAGGGAAGTTACCTCTAACATATTTTCCTCTCGATGGATCATTCAGGAATGCTAATGTTTTACAGTTTCATTAGAATAGATTGGAAGTTATATATAGAAATGAAACTGATGAAATACACTTAAGATAGAATCTTGTTTCTTTTACATTATAGTTGTTATTTGTTTTTCTACAATCATGTTATTTGTTAACTCATACAAAATGTTATTGTTCAAGATTAGATTTTTTTTTAAAAATCATTATAAAACCCTTATTGGTGAGACTAGATGCCACTGTTTTGCTTGTCATTGTTACATGAAGATGTACAACAAAAAATATTTTTACAATATGTACAGTTGTTATTTGTCAAATTGATTTTGAAAATTCCTTCAAAATTTTTCTCTTATTTAATACATTCTACAAAATATAATGTTGATTTTCAGATGAAGTAGAAATCATTTAATGGTGATGATATTTAAACATTATCTAATGAATAGTATACATGTATTACAAAATCATCAATAAGATACATTAATTTAACTACATATACCCACTTAATTTAAAAAGAAACAAAAAAATAATGTTGTATCATGATCACCACCCTGAATTAATCGGGAAAAAAAGTGAATTTCAAGGCTTACTAGTTTACATTGATAAATTGTTATTGTTTTTTTTATATTTTACACTGTTTTCTCGTTAATCTGTTACATTTTCATCAACTCAGGTACATGCTTGTTATATGTTAATTTTGACAATTTTGCATTTTTTTTCTTGTTATTTCTACATCATGATTAGATTTTAACTTACATAGATTGTTCTGTTTTAGATTTGTTTCTTGGAACATTATTTGATGTTTTAATTGACTTGTGTGAAGTTTATACTCTGTATAGTTATGTAATTTAGAGTGTTTTTAATATATCATGTATGAATGTTAGTTTTCAGCTGCATACACTAATACTTGTATCAAGGCAGTTCCTGTGAAGAAAAAATATGAAACATAAGTTAACAAAAGTTTCTGTCAAAAAGTAGAAATAAGTGTTGACAAGTTTAATTTCACTCATCATGTCACAGAAACTAAACTTTCATTATTTTCCAAGACCACCTTTATTAGATACTTCTCAATTCTGGTTGACAAAAACTGCCTTGATACCAGTACATATATCAATAATTTGTGACCAAGACATTTCAGGCTTCACAATTTTTACTTTGTTTGATAAATTTCACAAAATTATGAAAACCAAATGATAAATATGCTTTGGCACCTTTTGCAGTGAGATAAGAACCTTCATACCTTCATTGTTTTGGCTATTGTTAAACCAAGTTAAGACTCATTTTGCATTTTTTCCCTTGCATGTTGATTAAAAGGTCTATGCATACATAGATTTTACTTTACTTGCAAAGATAATAATTCATATTACATAAACTTTAATAATTTAAAGCAGCATGCCTCCAGATTCATAGTAATTTTCATGATTTTTTTTTAAAAATGTATTGATATGAGTAAAATATTGTCAAGTGAACAAAGAAAGTAGTTTACACATTGCAAACAGCACTTAAAATTTTTGAAAATTACCAAAAATACTTCAAAGTATGCATTTAACATGTTCTAGAAAAACATGTTGATTAATACTGTAAGATCAGTCATTAATTGTATATACATGTAAACATGTAAATTATTAAAAGAAATTGTGAATATTTTTACTTTTCTTAAAATGATAGAACATTTTTTCTCAAGGTTTTCTTGAAATATCTGGAGGTACATGTATGCAGCTTTAATAAAGTTTTCATAGCTATAAGAAATGTAAAAAACAAACAAGAAAAAGCATTGCTTTCTGAATTGCAAATTAAGTAATAACTAATAATGCAATTACATGTAACATTTTGTGTCAAAAAGAAAAATCATTACCATTTTAACTATAAATTGCAATATACATTTCTCTGTTACGTTGTTAAATTTAGTCATCAAAATAAATATACTTTTTCCAAACTTTGTTCTTCATGTATTTCCTTTAATTAATTAGAAAAAATGACATTTGTTAAACATAAAAGTGATCAGACGTACATGAGCTGATCTTAGATTTTAAATCATTGTAAGAACACCACATTCTGATCTAGCACCAAGATAATATTTGTTTTGATGGACTTTTAAAAAGCTATTGTGCAGAGTGCATGATTGACCATTAAAATGCCTAGAACACTGCCAAAATATGAGTGAATATGTAACCAACAGGACCTGTGATAATGGCACAGTAAAATACAACTGATTTTCTGAAATTAGGAACATATATTATCCAAAGAATGCAACTGCAGTGTCTGATATGTGGGTTTACACATTTTTAAACTCAGAAAAATCATTTACCATAGTTTCATGGGTTCAAGCTAAAACAAAATTGCCAGTTTTAACTTTTTGCCTATAATCAGGCTTAGTGAAACATGGTTTCTGCAGATTGTCTCATATAAATATTTGACCAAGTACTCGGTATAGATAGTTCTTGATTTGTACAATATTTACACCTGATCGACTATTCTTTGTGCTTTATAATGAAACCATTCTACATATTGTAGTTCTAATTCAATTCAACCCCATACTCACCTGAAGACGAGAGAAAATGTTTTATGTGACTATATCAAAATAGATAAATATAGACTGGTCTTGTGTAAAACTTAAACAAGAACTTTTCTGACTTCCTAAAAGGGTATAACTAAGTCCCAGTCCATGTTAGAATTTATGAGTTTTAATCATAAGACAAAAGAGCTCTCAGCAGGATTCATGCTTAATTATTCTCAATGCTTAGAGATAAGTAAAGAGCCTGGAAAATGTTGAATTTTTTAAGTTCAAAAAAGGGTCATATATAATTCTGTCAAAATCCTTTTAAAAGTTATTGGTCTTTTACAGTGACCTCCATTGTGATTTAAAATTAGTGTCTGAAGTTTAAACCCATTCCCTTCAGTAGTTTTGGACCATCTTGCATCCAAACACTTACCCAAAGTGTGATGCAGATGCATGGGCAAGTAAAATACGTAGCACTCCCTAATCTTCTAATAATAGTAGTCAGGTAGATGAGCTTACAAGTATCATATATATATATATTTTCATGTTGGAAATCAACCTTGTATCAGGAATTTCTATGTTCAATAGTAAAATCCATGGTAGTCATTGATCTTATTAAGCCATAGTTTTGATCCCAGACGCTTATGAAGTTTCCAAGTGAATATCTTCCCTTGCTTTGGGTATTCATCTTGCATGTAAAACTTTTTTACGAGTTTTCAGTCACACCAGGTAATATGGTATCTTTCTAGGTGAAGAAGATCCAAGGTGTCCCTCTGCATTATTTCAGGCATGAGCGGGCACATGAATAGTACTGACTTTGCATAAGCTGGCTTGATAGCTTCATCACATGAAAGAATCTATTCATTGGTGGGATTTTACCCTACCATGGCAAAGTGGTTCATTCTGCAATCTCCATGCAAAATATGTTAATAAAGGATTTTAAAGTTAACAGTGCTATAATTAAGTCAAACTCATATAATGGTCTCAAAGACGTGTGAAGTTTCATAATTCTTTGGTAATTGATCGAAAAAGAATCTGCACTAGTGTTATGCTGCTGCCAATGCACACAGGAGTATAATCTGCCCACTGAATATTTAAGCTAATAAAATTGCTTGCATGAAGACAGGGAAATAATAATTTTCTCCCCAAAAGAAATCAAAACGTAATTTATGATGAAATAAATGGCCTGATAAAAGGTTCATCCAAGTTTGGTGGTTCATGAAATCTAACCAGGATAAGCAATGCTAGTAGCTCAATTTTTTATTTTAAAAAATCTCTTAAAATTTGAATGGATGGTTCTGAATTAACAAGAGGGCCATAATGGCCCTGAGGTCGCTCACCTGTATATAGGCCCCCCCAACCCCACCCCCCCCCCAAACGTTGCAGGGCCAATTTAACCAAAGGTCTTTTATTTGCACAAACTTAGTAGACACCCATAAGAAGATGTTTCATGCTAAACATCTAAGCTCTAGCTCATTGGGCTATTTAAAAGAAGATTTTTTTTAAGTTTTTACTATACACATATAGTTAAAAACAATGACACCCCTGGGGCCGGGCCAGTTATGACCCCAAGGTTTTTATTTGAACAAACTTTGTAGACACTTACTAGAATATGTTTCATGCTTAATATCTAAACTCTAGCTATTTGGGTTTTTTCAAAGAAGGTTTTAAGTTTTTGCTATACACATATAAGGAAAATCAATGACCCCCGGGGCGGGGCCAATTTTGACCCCAGGTCTTTTATTTGAACAAACTTTGTAGACACTCACTAAAAGATGTTTCATGATTAATATCTTAACTCTAGCTAATTGGGTTTTTTCAAAAAAGATTTTTTAAGTTTTTGCTATACACATATAAGGAAAATCAATGACCCCCGAGGCGGGGCCAATTTTGACCCCAGGGCTTTTATTTGAACAAACTTGGTAGACACCTATTAGAACATGTTTGATGCTAAATATCTTAACCATAGCTCTTTGAGTTCTTTAAAAGAAGATTTTTTACTATATGCATATATAGGGAAAATCAATGACCCCCCGGGGCGGGGTCAATTTTGACCCCAGGGCTTTTATTTGAACAAACTTGGTAGACACTCACTAGAAGATGTTTCATGCCAAATATCTAAGCTCTAGCTCTTATGTTTTTTTAAAAGAAGATATTTAAAGTTTTTTCTTTCGGTTGCCATGGCAACCAGAGTTCTGCATGGAATTAAATTCTTTGAACAATTTTTAAAGGTGACCACCAAAGGAACATTCCTTTGAAGTTTGGATGAAATTGGCCTTGTGGTTTATGAGGAGATGTCATTTAAAGTAAAAGTTTACGGACGACGGCCGGACGCCGGACGAAAAGCGATCACAAAAGCTCACCCTGTCACTTTGTGACAGGTGAGCTAAAAACTGGGCAAATTCATTGTACAAAGTCAGCAATAAATCTATGTATTGTGCATTAAGCCTAACTCAGTAACTTTTGTATTTTGAAATTGACAATAAACTTGTATGATTTGGCAAACATTTATTTCATATCTTAAGGGTAACATATTTCTTTAACATCACATATATCAATAACTTTTCAAAATTGCCTGCTAGTGAAAAGTCTCAATTATAAAAAGTACTCCTTTATTCCTGTATGAACAGTCAAAATTTTAATATCAAAAATAATCTAAAAATATAAAAGCATTACAGCATGAAACAAAATGATGTAATGCCATCAATAGTATATAGGTACACTGTTGAAACGTTGTAACTTCAGCCATTAGTTCTGTGTCAATTTGATTGGGAGAGGATTTTGTCAATCAAGCTTCCATTTATACGGTCCATAATAAATTCTAGAGATATTATATCAAAGATACAAATTTTAAATCAGTAAACATTATAAAGCACAGTCTTTGCTTTATACTGCAGTGTTAGGGCAGAACTATAATTCAAATATTCCAAAAAAACACTTCTCATACTTATCATAAATATAAGTTTGATTTATGAAAATAAAGATTGATGCCGTACAGCTTGAAAATGAGCAACAAAAAGTTTTTTGGTAGCCTACTGCATTCGTAATTAAATGGGGGTGAAAAACATGGTTCAATTTTTATGACCTGATATCCTAGGAAGTATTTCTATTATGTCTACAAAATTAAATATTCATATAATGCTTGTACAATCATATTTCTTATTGATACTGGAATTTCCCACATACCTAGTCTGAATAAAGTAAAGTTTTATGATTAAAAAAGTTTTTCAGTAAGATAAAGACAATATAATCAATAATTCACTGATTATTATACTTGTACTTGTTTCATCAAAACTTTAATCAAATACCAGCAGCAAAGAAATACCTATAGTAGCAACTAACAAATACAAAGTCCTTCTATCATAGCCATCCTTGTTTTATCCCTCACAAGTGACAGTCACATTTGTACAAATCAATTCCCTTAATCAGTGATACGATTTGTCTCCAACATGACACCACAATCTGACCACCTAACCTGGGAGGATCTTATATGAATATGAATAGATTTTAATGTTTTATTTTAAAACATATTCAAAATTCATACTACATGTATATTGACATGTACTAAAAGTTGACATGTAGTTTAAAAACACACATACAATTTAATACAAACAAAAACTCTGATTATTTGTTACAAGTTGATTCATGTCCATGTATATGTATTCCACATCGAAACAAATCTAATTTGTTTAGCATTTTTTATAATCATTTAATGTAAATAAATAACTTACAAAATTATAGACACAATTTTTCAACAAAATTCCACAATGGTTTGTAAACAAGTACAGAGTTGAATCTGTGGTATCAAGAAAAATAATAAAACACTAGAATATTTTTCTGTTTTTTTCTTTGAAAGACAATCTTTCAACATGTCTGTTCCTGCCCTGTTTTAAGCCACTTAAAGACCAACAGAGTTTCTCATGAAATTTTAGTTTTTCTATCACAGATTTTGTAACTCATTTCACTGTTTTTTCTTGTACTATGTTGATCACTAACTCTTATTTACAGCAATCTCTTACAGTAGCTTTTATGTAGACATTACCTACACTATATGTCAGCTGCTTTTGACGTCAGCTGTTTACGAGATCCTTTCTTTGCTGAAAAGCACTCATGACGATGATTAAAACATTTTCCCAATTAGCCCTAGTTGTTCTATCAGCTCTCATCTTTTATAAACTTGTAGGTTCTGGCTGATGGTGCAGTTAAAACTTTTTTCGATAATCGAACTGCCCCAGTTGTTGGGTCTCTGCCAAAATATTTTACAGAAATTTTCTGACCAACCTCAAGTCCAAGAGCACTAGGGTGAGAAACCTGAAGTTGTACATTAACATAAATATTTCAATATGAACTGACTTTCTTTACAATAAAATATCATAAATCCCCACTCCCTACCATACCCCAAAACATGTTAGTATATAAATCTTATAATTTACTTCACATAACACTAACATATTTGACTGCAATGCATTGTCTTTTAAATATCTATGATTATCAGACTGTTTTCAGGATCTAAATCATAAATATTTAAATATATTATAATCAATAAGGAAAATATGGGGTAGTTTAATTACATATCATTTGGGCTATGCACATATATGATTTTTTTCTCAAGAAAACCACCCTTTCTTAAACAACTTATTTCCTTTTTTAAAATTTTTAAACATTGGAATTTGTTTAAAAATGTTTTGGGAGGTTTAAATTTTTCAATTTTCTTTTAATTTGTAACAATTAATTCCAGTTGCAAATTATGTGTAAAACTTCTGATTAAGATTTTTTTTCAGTTGCAATATGAAGTTAAAGTTACATCCTTTTTTCATCTAAAAATAATAATTTTCTGTTATTTCTACAAAATTTGTACACAATTTTACCAGTACAAATGACAACTGACATTTTGCAAGGTTATAATTTCCTATTTATAAACAATATTTCAACAATTTCATTTTTGAGGTTATTTATTATTATTTAATGCATCTCTAAATAAAGGATTAAGAAGTGGCTTGACTTTCTAACTTTGCAAGCTACTTAGTATTTTTGGACAGAAACTTGAGTAGAACCAATGTCAGGTAAAATAAATGACCACATTGTGCAAGGTGGCCACAAGATTGTGGTACAAAGTCCATGCCCTTCATTATCTCGTGAAATAATTCTTCTGTGTGAACAAAGCTGTATACAGAATGAAAGACAAAAGTAATGCCATGTTCAATGCATTAAGTTGTCCCTCCTTTAAAGTGACATTATGCTCTTTTTTTTCTGTTCATTTACCAGTAATTGATAATGACAAAGTTTAGGAACAAATAAATAAAACTACCTAAAATATAAAAAAGACTGCCCAACTCCTTTTATAAATTGGAAACCATTGATAAATTCCGAAGGCTATTCATAGATATTTCAATGAATTAATTATTAATTTTGCATATCAAAATAAAAACTTGAAAACGATAATGGCAAATTGTAAAGTTATTTTCACGTTTATTTTTACACTCAAAATTTACACTTGGATGAGCATAGTATCACTTTAATCTGGACTGATAAAACTATAATTACCCGTCTATGATCTAACTGTGAATTATGTAATAATACTGGCTCCATTGCAGGATGTAATTGTACCATAACACCAAAGTCTCTGAAATCATAATAATGTTCAAAACCTTATTTCCACTAAATCAAGTCAAAAATTTATATTTCAATTCTAGGTAATGAAAAGTTTCATGAACTGAAAATGTACATTAAACAGGAGCCCCGCATGTCAAGTTAACAATCATCTTTTATATCAACACGTATAAATAATCAAGTTTTACAACTATTAAAGTTAACAAGAGCACCGCATGCAGTGTAAACACTCGTCTGTAAAGGGCATCCACTATCAATAACCAAATTAATAAATATTATAACTTTTAAAGGGGGCAAAACATCTAAAAGTATTACATTCAGGATAATGCCCCTTTTCATACAACTGTACCTTGTCATGATTTATAAGTATTACAAATTTCCAGTTAATAGCTTTGATAGTTTTGAAATAATTAAATATGACAAAAATGCTAAGTAAAAAAGTGGCATAATGCCAAAAATATAGCTTTCAGAATAATTCCCCTTGTCTTACAAGTGCCTCTTGTCAAGACTTGCAGGTATGACATGTTTTAAGTTGATACCTTTTCAAATGTTTTTACACCAGGACTACATCAACAAAGTTAACACGGCAATCATTAAAGCAAAAAATTTTCTTCGAAACTGACAAGCTAATAGTTATGACCAATACCATGTGGGTTAATTCTTTTGTCTGCTACAGGTGTCAAAAACAATTTTTATCATAAATATAAAGTCAAACAGACATATCTGATGCTAAACATTAATTTTCTTAAATTTTTTTATCATTTATTGCTATAAACATTTGTACAATGTTAATAAAAAAAAAATAAACATTTGTACAATGTTAATAAAAAAAATAAATTGTTTAATGTTTATAAAAGCTATTGTCATTGTCACATTAATTTTCTTAATACCTTTGACTGATAACTGACCTTTTTTAAATATAAAATCCATAAAATAGATTATTAAAAGAGTTAATAATTGTAATAATCATCAAGTTAAACATCCTTACTTTATCTCTGTAATTAATGCCTCATAAACAGCAGAAAATTCAAGTTCTGGTGCTTTCTGAAATTGAAAAAAACATACATTTTATTACTAATAATATAAAAGAAGCCTTGAATAAAGAAACTTTTCCTTTATATAGATTTGCTAATTTCTTCAATTTCCTTCAAAAAAAAATATAAATGAATTTTCATGCAATATTGTTGTTAATGAATATAAAGAACAAATTATATATGACAATGTTGCAACTGTATGAATATAAAACACAAATGAGGATGTTATCACTCATTTAACATAAAGAACAAATTTGGGCAATGTTGCAACTCCATGAACATGAAAACAAATCAGGACATTGATCCATCAACATTAAAGAGCCAGTTCAGACTGCACAGACATACAAGATAGCCTGGCTCTTTAATGTTGGCAAAGGCTAGTAACTCCCAGTTCCAGCAGGCACTCTTCACAAATTCAGTCAGTATATATTTTAAAATTGTTCCCTAAAAATAATGTATAGTTTTGTCCAGATTGTATGATGTACAAGTCTATTTAAAGTTTTTAGCAGGATGGTGATGTCCATTTAAAATATTAAGCATTGTAAGGGTTAAACCAGAGAATGATGTACATTATGAAGGAAATACTAAACAGACCTTGCTTTCAAGTATGTCATCAATCATTAGCATAGCCTCATCCATAGCATCTTTATTGGGTGCAAATATTTCATAGGTATTATCATCTACATTTTGGATTAATACACCTGAAAACAGAATTGAAATACTGTGTGATTAATTGAAACATACTAAAAAAAGTTTAAATATGCTTAAAATAAATTGTTTGTTTAACACACCACTTTAACGCATTACTGCACGAGCATTTTGTGAAAAATGGCTGTTTTCATTGAAAAGCCTCCTGTTACAAGTTGAAATTGCTATAAAACAAAAAATAAAAAATGCTTCAATACCGATCAAACTTTGCACAAATGTTGACTGGACCATAGCATTTCCTGTTACCATGGCAATGAGGGGACATCTCAAAATTGCCAAAAATCACTATTTTGCATTGATTTTTTTCCATCAAAACTGATTTCAAAGTGCTGCAACTTCTCGATGGATTGAGATAGAGTCAAAGGCTTTTCAGCATTGGTTACAATTTACCTCAAGACCGACCTTAGAGGCCAATTTTAGCCTCTCAAAAGTCCAAAATCTTCACAAACTACACCAAACACCTAGACATTCAGGTGGACGGCCACTCGAAAAGCAGTTTACCCCTCATAAAACTTTCATTGTGCGGAGGATATTAAAAACAATTTGTCTTACCTGTTTCTGACTGCAACCTCTTGAAATTAATTCCACCTACACCAGCAAATGAACGAGCCTGCGTTGGTGTAACAGTTAATTTTTCTGGAAATAAATTAAGTGTTTGTGAAAACACAAAAGCACAAAATTATCTTTTAAAATAAGAATAAAACTTGTAAAAGTGTCTTACATTTTCTATTTATACTCTAATTGAAATTTAAGATTTCATTTGAGGAAGGCTACCTGAAAAATTGGCTGAAATGCATGTAACAGCTTAGAGTGTCCTGATAAAACTGAATTATACACAAATCATCAAACGGCTATTTATTTCATATACATGTACTGTATACCTTTATACCCTAATAAAGTTTTTTGGAAACCAATAAAGGCTCAAATTTTTCTTTTCTGAACCAGAATACAAACAGGGCAATATTACCTTTCTACATGATAGCAGTATATATGCCTTTACTATGCTAACAGTTTAGATCCAGGCCAGCTTGTAATTTAATGCAATATGACCAGATCCTTAATAAACAACTGCTCAAGGGGAGTGGTGGCCTAGTGGTTAAGGTTGCCTCTCAACACAGGGATCGTGGGTTCGAGCCCTAATCAGGTCATGACCATGTTTCTTCATATGATACCAGTACTTGTTGGTTCCAGGAAGCGGACTCGAAAGTGATTAATATAAGTTGTAAGAATTTGTTTCGCAATCAAGCTTAAATAAATATGTTTAAACCAACAACTGCCCAGTTCTAGCATTAATGATTAATTAATCCAGGTCAGCTTGTTATTCAGTGCAGTATGATTAGATCCTACATTAACAACTGCCCTGTGGGTGAATTTAGGTTTGTTTTCCCTCAACAAATAAATGCCAAGCGTAACATTATGATTAAAGATTTATAGAAAGATTATATCTTACATAAATGACTGCCGAGTTCTAGAAAATTTAAACTAACCATGGTAAATTACAAGTTAAGAGCCCAAATAAAAGTAATGGTTTTCATTATTACCAGACTAAGTCCATAATAAAAGTAATGGTCTTTATTATTACCATCTTACCTATAACTGGTCTACATTTTTTCATGGTGTTTCTTGGGGCTTCAAGCTTGGACTGTTTTTTCATTATACTAATAATATGAGATATCTTTTCTGCAAAATAAAAAAATATAATTTTAACATTTTATTCTGTTATATGTAGGTCAATGTAACATGAATACCCAATATAAAGCTACTCCCCTAAGGCTTTTGTTCCAAACATAAAATATGTATTTTTTGTTTCAAATCATGAAATGTGAATTATGTATGTTAAGTTTTAAAAGAAATTATTTTACATTATGGTGGCTGCTGTTTTGAAACTATTCTGAATTATTTAACTAAAATATATATTTTTTCTTGGTTTATATAAACCATTTTTATTCTCTGTATATAATCCAAGCTTTTTGTTCACACCATTCAAAATTCTTTAGCTAGTTTTGTCTATGATTTTCTGCCATCTTGATTTTTCAGAATTGCTCATGGGAAATAGAGCAGCACCCACCAGTTATCATATCTTCACTATCTCATCTTCCAGAAAGAGATTTCTGAAGAGCACCAAGCTCCACTCTTTCTCAGTGCTTGATTGTAAACTGTATATTTTCTAAATAAGGTGATTATTTGAAATAAAGATCACATAGACCTTAACCTTTTTAATACAAAAATAGGTGCAGCAGACAGAACTCGTGAAGATGCATCAACAAATCATGTTACAAGTTTTTAGTCAATGCATTTCAATTTAAAGGCCAGTTTAATGTTTTGTTATTACAAATCCTTGTGACCTTAACCTTTGACCTTTTAGCTTGGAAATGGGTGTGACCAATAGAGCACATCAAGGTTCATATACATTAAATGTTTCAACTAACAAGGTCAAAAATAGGATAAAGTTTAATAATGTAAAATGTTTAAAATAACTTTTGAAACATTGTCAGTGTTTTTTTTCACCAAAATATTCGGCAAAATTCTCCCCATTCCCCCCTCAAAAAAGTATGTTTTTTTCCCCCCTCAAAGCTGAAATTTCCCCCTATAATATGGCAGCCCAAGTTTGCCTGCAATGAATATAACTAACTGCCGAAAAATGCTTTATTTTATGCCTGTAAGACTTACTGTTAAGCAAGGTTTTTCATATAGGTAAGGGGAGCTACTCCTGGTATCCCAACAAGTTTATCATGTGACACATCAATATTTTAGATCCATATAAAAATCCCCCTCCTATTGCATTTTCCCCCTCCAATGGGCACCGACCCCCTTCCCCCAAAAGTGAAAAAAAACACTGATTGTTTTATTTTAAACATTTTATGCCTTAACTAATATCATTTACAATGCCGACATGTTGGTAAGGACAATAGCTCTGAAAATCGAGCTAAAAACGTCATAAACTTTTTGAATGCTCAGGTAATGTTTCCACTGGACTACATTGCAGTCATCAGTATCTGACATAACCAAACAAGAGGGCCATGATGGCCCAAAGTCGCTCACCTGTATATAGGCCCCCGGAGCGGGGCCAGTTTAAACCCCAGGGCTTTTATTTGAACAAACTTGGTTGACACTCATTAGAAAATGTTTCATTCTAAACATCTAAGGTCTAGCTTATTGGGTTTTCTAAAAGAAGATTTTTTATGTCTATATATATATAAATATAAGATATATATATACAATAAAGATACATATATATATATATATATATATATATATATATATATATATATATATATATATATATGTATGTATATATATTATTTGTATATATCTAAAAAAAAAAGTCGAGGCTAATGAATGACCCCCGGGGCGGGGCCAATTTTGACCCCAGGGCTCTTATTTGAACGAACATGGTAAACATCCATTAGAACATGTTTCATGCTAAATATCTTAGCTCTAGCTCTTTGGTTCTTTCAAAGAAATTTTTTTAAGTTTTTACTATATGCATATAGGGAAAATCAATGACCCCCTGGGGCGGGGCCAATTTTGACCCCAGGGCTTTTATTTGAACAAACTTGGTAGACACCCATTAGAAGATGTTTTATGCTAAATATCTTAGCTCTAGCTCTTTGGGTTCTTTAAAAGAAGATTTTTTAAGTTTTTACTATATACATATAGGGAAAATCAATGACCCCCAGGGCGGGGCCGACTTTTATTCTAGGAAAAAAATTTGAACAACTTTGGTTTTGGATCTATAAATGATACCATAGACCAAATATCAAAGCTCTAGGCCATTTACTTTCAGACCATAAGATTTTTCAAGTTTTCACTATATGTATATAATGAAAATCAATGACCCCCAAGGGCGGGGCCAATTTTGACCCTAGGGCCATTATTTGAACAATCTTGGTAGAGGTCTACCACACAATGTTTCATGCCAAATATCTTACCTGTAGCCTTTGCCAATTCAGAGAAGAAGATTTTTTTATGTTTTACTATATACATATTTAGAAACCTATGACCCCCCGGGGCGGGGCCAATTTTGACACTAGGGACAAAATTTGTACAACTTTGGTACTGGACCTTCAGATGATACCATAGACCAAATATCAAAGCTCTAGGCCATTTACTTTCAGACCAGAAGATTTTTCAAGTTTTCACTATATGTATGTAATGAAAATCAATGAACCCTTGGGGCGGGACCAATTTTGACCCTAGGGCCATTATTTCAACAATCTTGATAGAGGTCTACTACACAATGTTTCATGCCAAATATCTAATCTGTAGCCTTTGCCAAATCAGAGAAGAAGATTTTTTTAGATTTACTATATACATATAAGGAAAAACCTATGACCCCCCGGGGCAGGGCCAATTTTTGACACTAGGGACAAATTTTGAACAACTTTGGTAGAGGACCCATAGATGATACCATATACCAAAAATCAAAGCTCTAGGCCATTTACTTTCAGACCAGAAGATTTTTCAAGTTTTCACTATATGTATGTAATGAAAATCAATGAACCCTTGGGGCGGGACCAATTTTGACCCTAGGGCCATTATTTCAACAATCTTGATAGAGGTCTACTACACAATGTTTCATGCCAAATATCTAATCTGTAGCCTTTGCCAAATCAGAGAAGAAGATTTTTTTAGATTTACCTATAGACATATAAGGAAAAACCTATGACCCCCCGGGGCGGGGCCAATTTTACAGTAGGGACAAAATTTGAACAACTTTGGTAGAGGACCCATAGATGATACCATAGACCAAAAATCAAAGCTCTGGCCCATGTACTTTCAGACAAAGAAGATTTTTTTTAATTTTGTGTTTTTTTGAAATCCTTTTCTGGCCCTGTGACCTACATATGCAACAGACCGGAACCATTTGAACAACTTTGAAAGGGGACCACCCAAGGATCATTTCTGCAAAGTTTGGTTGATGTGCAGTCATTGGTTTCTGAGGAGATGTTGTTTATGTGAAAAGTTGACGACGCACGACGACGGACACAGGGCGATCACAATAGCTCACCCTGAGCATTGCTCAGGTGAGCTAAAAACAGTAACTGTTGTGATAGGAAGCTTGTTAACCCTTAATCTACCCATTAAATTTTGTTTGATTTTACACTAGGGATGTCATTTGGAGCAGAAATCGCCATCTGGATATCCAGATCCTATCAGAGTGTTTTGATCATTGTTTTATTCTTAGCTGATATGACATACCTATTTTTTGCCACCATTTTCAAAGTAAAATGACATAAATTAACATCCTTTCTTAATTAAGTGTTTCTTATAAACATTTTCTCATTATTGATTACACCATTATACAAAAATATAATTATTTTAAAGTGTAAAGTAAACATAAAAAATGTTGAAATAAAAAATTAATCAGGACACTAAATTGTGATTTGAATGTTCAGAGATGAAATCCCTACTTTACATCTAACAAGGAGAGATCAAAATCTCAATAACATTTAATTTATTCTGGACAAGAAATTCTTACTTTTAGCAAGGTCCACTGCTTCACATACGGTATCAAGAGGAATCCCAGAGTTTTTAAGATCCATTTGTATGGCAGTCAAGCCTGATACTGTTCCTCCTATTTTCATATCCATCTCTCCATAAAAATCTTCAAAACCCTAAAAAGTAAAAGAATTTATTCATGATACAAGACTATGGGGTCACCGGTGTAATGAATTGATCAACTCATGATATGATACAAGCTCATGATACAGTATGTACCTCAGTATGTATCTGCAGATAGACAGACAGTGTGAATCATTTAATCTATTCTTTTTATCACAACACTTCCGTACAATAAATACTGAATGTTGCAGATAAATGGCACCTGAACAATGAAAATCACCTTTCAAAAGTAGTTCTGATATAAACTTATTGATACTTTATAATTTTATCTTAACTCTTAGCCTCCATGTGATAACAGATTCTACCATTGCTACTAGTATAGATCAAGATCAGGTAGTCTGATCAGGCTGTCTTTGCTCTGTTACCTATTTAATCAGTCATTACAGTTTTTGATACTTTTCCTGAAAGTGATGAATGGTTTTGCCAAGATTCAATATAATGGAAAATTGGGTGAAAGAATGATAAAAACTTGATAGCCACTCTGCCATATTACATGTCAATTATCTATTCTCAACACATAATGACATAAGACAAAGATATTTTAAATGTTTTCTCATTGTGTTAGTTTTTACAAAATGTAATATGAACAAGAGAAAATCTGGAAGGAAAACATTTAAACCATATCACCAAACAACAGTATAATTTATTTAAAAGTCGGAATGTTGATCCATTATAATAATCCCATGTGATAAAAGTACCGTGCGGGTTCAAGTAAAATGAAGAATAAAATTTCTACCAAACAGATTATGCTAAAACAGACGCCCTTTAAGAGTATGGGCCATAACTCTGACATACATGTATAGGATAGTATTTGGTCACTTCAAAATCAAAACTGGTTCAAGTTGTACAGTTAAACTTATTTCTTTAAAACTGAATCTAAAACAAGAGCTGTTGGTATGACTACATGCTCAACTATGTTCAGTGCTTGATAATAAAACAAGAGCCTGGATAAAGTAAAATTTTGTAAATTCAAAAAAACATAATTCTGTCAAAGTCAGGTTAAAATTATGGGCCTTGGATAGTGACCTATGAGTATGAGACCTCTTAAGTATGAGTGTGAAAATTCAACCCATACCCTGTAGTAGTTTTAGAGATACATGTACCAACTTGCATACAAAAACTTAACCAAATGTGACACAAATGCTCTCCCTATTCTTCAAATAGTCAAGCTAAAAAACCTGTTATCATGCAGACAAGATATATTGTTTACAGACAATGGACATCACAAAAGATCACCATGACAACAAAGCTAATATTTATTTTGTGAAAACATGAACATACAGAAATGTCTGCAAGAAGATGGTATTCTTTCGGGTCTGATTCTTCATTTGTTACCAGTCCTATGGCAATACCTGCTGCTGGTTCCTTTATATTGACCCCAGCATCCATCAGAGCTAAACTTCCTCCACATATAGATGCCATTGAGGATGATCCTGAAAATGGGTACCAGAAAATTATTACTTTATTATAGATCAAACAAAGAGTCACGAATATCCATATCATCACTCTGATATAGGATTTTATGTAGAACCACCTATAATCTTTGAAAGGTGAACTAAGTTTAAGAAAGTCCTACAAGGAGTATAGAATTTATAGAGTAAACACAAAACTGTCTGACAATGTTAAACTATTGTTTAAAGAAAAAAACAAAACAAAACCAAAACCTTTTAGTTTTTTTTATTGAAAAAAAATTAACAGTTCTAA